GGGCACTGTCTCGGATGGTCCAGAGCCCTGCATGTAATATGGAAGTCATAAAATTCACGTTCGATGAGACACTCGATGATACTGACAGAAAGCAGGGATGGGAGAAACACAATCTCGGATTATTTCCCCGTTAAGTGCTTCGTGAAAGCGCGCACGAGCGTGATGAGAGATTTTACAGAAACGCTGCTCTGCTCGAGATGCATTGATATAATTACGTGGAAGATGCCAAGTGAGGCTATGAAAAAAAAATGCCAACACCAGACGAAGTGGGAGGGTCGTCCTCTCTCATGCGTGAATGTGCGTGTGCCTGGCCATGATCTTCCTGCAGCTCGTGGCGTGGATCCGATTGCCTGAATGGGCGTGTGAAAGCGGGCTGTGTGGATGTGAAATTCATGCGAGGAAGTGTGTTCGGCAGGGGTCCTTCGGGCTGACTTGACACTGAAACCTATGAAGTATGTATGTTTGTATGAAGTAACGTGCATCCTGTGGAGCGTATACATAGCGTATACATACTCCTCAGACTTGATTGAGCTGGGCTAGCCAGCCACTTGTGGTGGAGAGGATTGCTCCATCCTGACGTGGCTGCCAGCAAATTGGTTTGAGCTGCTTTTTTCTGCATTCAGTGAAGAAAACTGCGCAGCGTAGCACGACTCTGCATGAATCCAATACAACCCTGACAACGACAACAGGTTGCAGGTGACGCTCGTCCTATCAACGAAGTCCGTGTAAGTTGTTGGAAGAAGATTCTCAGGGCGCAGCCAGCGTGCCTGACTACACCTTCTAGAGTTTAGCGCCATCTTGGGATCTGGGAGTCCCTTTACCGTGATTGTTTTTTCTGCTGGAGATGGGAACTAGTCTCCACAGCCAACAAGTTAGTGCACATTACAGAAGCTGAAAATCGTGGAATCCTAAGACCGGAGAAGAATTGAACCCTCATTAAAGTCGTCCAGTACTAATGAGTATGTACTTCGTACACTACTTCGTACACTACTTCGTACTCCTCGTCGAATCTGTCTTCTCCAGGTATCGCCTGAAGAGATCTTAGAGACAGGGCTCGCTCAGCGGGGTGGGACTGTAATTTCCCCCCCAGAGCTGCCCATTATCGATCGACTTGACTGAACGATTGATCGATCACCTGGCCGAATTTGAGAAGGGAAAGGCTCTATGAGCTTCGGCCTGGCCATTGGTCTCTCTTTACAACATACAACTAGCGGTACGTTGGCTGGAGGAAACTTTGCTGAAGTTGGTGAGAAGCTGCCACCGCACCTTGATACCTATTTCGTAGCGTAGTCGTTGCTTTTTAGATCCTGATAGACGGATGTCCGTCTTGAGGATACGTACGAAGTGTAAGATACTCCAATGCAACCCAAACGCCACACACTTGCGCGGTAGTTCCCGCTGGTGTGTGGGCACACTCGTTCTCCTTCCTTCCTGGTGATGAGATGATGAGCCGGTGATTGGTATGGCGGTAGAGTGCTTGTAGGAACGAACCTTGTTCGACATGTGGTTGGGGTCGCATGCAACAAGAGGATCTTTCGGAGCACGGGATGAGCTAGTGCGCAGATTGGAAGTGAGAGACGACGCCATTCCCATATTCTTTCTGGCATGGTAGTGGCGGTATGTGACTTGACCGTCATGTACTCCTTGTAATAGCGTCCAGTTCAATTGGCAACGACGCCACTAGGATCGCTCAATTAGCGGTGGACGGGTCGTCACCTCAGCATGCAGGGACAACAAGCAGTGCTGCTAGGCTGCAGTTTAAACCATGTCTAGCCTATCACTAGCGACCCAAAGAGAAATTTCAACAACACCGACGTGTCAGTGCAGGCGAGGAGAGGTTGGGTTCTGGCAATGACTTCCTTTCTGGTTCTTGTCCTGACGCGGTCATCTTAGGTCCTAAGAGTAAGAGGTCAGACACTGGTTAGAAGTCCTTGAATTGCCGCAACGTCTAATATTTCACACTTATACTCGTATGTAGAGGACAAAGAACGAAGATTGGGAGGTAAACGTGTGCGATCCGTCTCGCAATGAAATTATCGTCGCTGCGATGCTGAGCACAGAGCTCTTGTAATTACATTCGATTCTGTGTGGCCTAATTTAATCTGCAGAATTCAACAAGCTAATCCTCCCAACACCAGACCATCCTGCGTACCTGGATTGAGAAACTTGTCCGTACGGAGTAAGGCCTTGGCGGCGATCGGGTATCCGGAGATGTTGCTTTATCTTGCGTGTGACCGTCTCCGATCCATGTGATCAATCTCTTCTGGAAAGAAAATGAACATCGCTGAGATTTGCACCTTTGGATGTACTAGCAGAATACCATCCGCAGGGTAGAATCTGCTGGAGACCTCCGTTCAACGTTGGGAGGGTGTTCTTACTAGACTCCCGTCATCGGGCATTTTCTCATGCGAGCACTCTACCTCGGTACTCCGCAGGGATGAGGCGGGCACGCTGCGAAGTTTACGAAGTGGTGAATGAAGTTTTTCGGTGTTTAGCTGTCTGGGTTTGACGGAGAGAGCCCGGCAGAGACATTCAAAAATGTTGCAGTGGAACAGAGTGACATCCGGCTAGGGCTCCTGATCGACACACGAAAAGGACGCTAGGAACCCCCGATTTCAGGTGGAGGGTGGGTGAGGGGGAGCTCTGACTGGTTCTTGCCCCATTTCTCTGTCCAGATTAATGACGCGGGTACCTGACCGCGAGATGACGCTTCAGTGTTCCAGCCTGTGGGAAGTCGCGACCGGACGAAGTATTTTGTGGTGTAAAAGTAGAATGATACCTCGCCTGAAGCCTGGCAGGGGCGAGATTGTCTTATTGGCCTGCCAGGCCACTTGATCCCTGTCCAATCATCGACGGTCGCATGTTATTACCGTCCAGCACGAAATTTTGGATGAACTGTGCTTAACCTCAGCCTCTAACACACCCGAGCTTGTAACCGGGGCTTCCCTGTTTCCCTCGAGGAGATCATGCCGAGTCGCTCGAGTATTGGATTGTGTACGTCGGAGGTAATACTCGCACACACTGTAGAAGTATTGAAGTATTACAAGCACGCTTTTCTTTGGGTTCTCAATGGTCCCAAAAACAGTCGGGCTCGGCTCATTGCCAACATTGACGTCCGTTGATACGCCGCTTTCCGACCAAGCAGGACCTGCTTACACCACCCAAACTCCCAGCGGCAGCCCACCAATCCAGCCACTAACGTTGCGTTCTCCGGGCTGCATCTGTTGACGAACATCATTCGGACTCCTGGGGAAATGATTCTCTGTATGGTTGGCTCCTGCTCTTCGTGGCGTCCGGTTGTCTGGAACTCGCTATTACCTACTTCACAGTTCATAGGAAGTACTTCGTACAGGTTGATGTCTTGCCACGAATGGAAGCCGATTCTCTCATCCTCCCAAGCCGCCTTCCCCACTCCGAGAAATTGAGGAAGTGACGAACAGGATGTTCACGCCTGCTCATACAATCTTATAGGTCCGACCGCTCGTGTCATTCAACACAGCAATCTGGTTCTGTACTTCCTTCGATAGGTACACTTACGTGGACTTGGTTTAATAGACTAGGAGCTCCATTGCATGAGCCGTGCACATACCGTACTGCTGCTTTCCCTGGAAATACTAGCATCAAAGAGAGGGAATCTGCTGAACATGATCCATTTCCCCAAGGCGCTGGAAGTAGCCATGTGGCTGTTAAGCATCGCATCGTCTGTGCAAGTCAACTACTCTCCGAAGGACATCCACACGCCTTCTTCCATTTTCATGACATTAGTCTTCCGTTTTCATGTACTCGGCCTGGTGTCTTAGCGTGAGCTCCATTATCATATTCTCAGTCTTTTATCATTGTTTCTCGCTTTTTGCCGTCTCAGCCTGCTCTGATGATTGGCCATGGTGCTCTTTCTCAGTCGACCCTAGAGGCGGCTGTTTGACCCCGTCTTGCCTTCCCGCTTGTTTCTTCTTATTAGTTCGTATAATCCGCCAAGCAAGCTGCACTTTCCAAGCTTTTCTATCATCTCCACAAATGAAGTCATCGAGATGCTAGATGCCCCTTCTCCATTAATAGCCATCAATATCCTGGTCTCGAATCTTGTCCGTCCTGATCCCGCCTTCTGGTTTGATCTTCGAGCCCACTTAAAATGCTTTGCACGCCTTCCGTCCAAGTATTTGACAGCAGGAATCGCCCAGCCTCTAGCTCATGTACGAAGTAGTTTATGTACTTCGGTTTCACGCCCCTCGTCCTATATCCCGGTTGAGGCCTTGTCCCTGCCCCTTTACTTTTAGTGTATTTTCCCTTGATCCCTTCTTTTCCGGTCCCTCTTTCTTTTTACTAATCCCCACCCCGGGGTTCACTGCTCAGTACCCGGAACCCTTACCCCCTGTCGCAGCATGAGAGCTGTTCCTTCTCCTACCTTAAAGAAACCCTGTCTCACTCCCCACGCATTGCCTATGGTCTCCAGTCCTTATATGATCTCTCCCTCCGCCACATCACACACCCCCAGCCAGGTCACCATAAACTGAGCTCGTTGCATCGTCTTGGGGACCCGGATTCTGGCTCGCCTTATTACTCCATTCCACTGAGGCTGTATTACGATACGAAGTTTACCTCGGAGAGGCGTGTGACTTGAGGTGTCCAGTCCGTGCATGGTCTTTCTGTCCGCCAATCCGACTTGCTTCTTTTCGACTTACACGCTCCTGCTTCCATGCATTTCTCAGCTCCTTTCTCTCTACTCAAACCTTAGGAGGAGAGTTTCCGAAAGCGACGGATCCTTGCTATACATATCCTCCCTTCGGCCCATTCCTTCGGTTGTTTCCTTTCAACATCGTCAACGTTACAAGTCTGTTAACATTCGACCGAAAGAGTTTTGGGATCATGCCGAGTTGCGCCGCGGACCAAGGTCGAGCCCTGGACTGAGTGTAACCCGGCAGCTCCACCTCGACTCGATCAAATCGACTCGCCATATTGTATCTCTCGAAACGCAAATATTCTATACCAATACTAACTCGAAAATGTTACGACGGCGGCCCCGCCTATGGGCTGTCTTGCTCTGCCTTTTCTTATGTATTCAACTGGCGACAGCGAGACCGGCGGGACTTGTCCGGAGGCAAGATGAAGTCTCACCGGAACCGACGCTAGAAACGACGCCCAGAGCACCGGAGCCAACGAAGGCGGTGACCGACGCACCCAAGGACGATGAGGAGCCGACACCAGTCGCGAGTACGAAACCAACAGACGAAGCAACTCCGACTACGAGCGAGACATCGGCCCCGACTCCAACAGAAAGCAGCGGAATTGATGACCTTTTCGACTGTAAGTATTGATCAATTGCTTTTGGAGGACTTGATACTAAGATACGCAATCTTCAGCTCCCATTCCCGAGGGTCAACTACCACTCCAACCAAGGATTACACCCGCCTATGGCCTAGCTGGTGTATTGCTCCTAATATCTGGACTCGTGTATAACACTATTGGCATCAAGAACTCGTGGTTGCAGACCTTCTTTTCCGTCACATATTTGGGCAACCTCGCCATCACCGTCTTGATACTATATGTAATGACGGTACCCATAAGCGACGCGATCCAGGGAGCGTACCTCGTTGCAATTGTCCTCACAGGACTAATTCTTGGAGCCGGCGCCACGATTTTTAAGGAGCTTACCGAAGGACTCGGCTGTATCCTCGGAGGCTTCTGTGTTAGCATGTGGTTATTGACTCTTGTTCCTGGCGGATTGCTCCCCCAAACCGCATCAAAAGTCATTTTCATCGCCGCTTTTTCCCTCGGTTCGTTCGGGTTCTACTTTAGCCACTATACGAGAGACTACGCCCAGATTTTCCTGCTAGCCTTTGCCGGAGCCACGGCCGCAGTTCTCGGAATCGATTGCTACAGTCGTGCGGGTTATAAGGAATTTTGGGCCTACGTCTGGGATCTCAACGAGGATTTGTTTCCCTTCAACGCAACCACCTACCCAGTGACGAAGGGGATAAGGGTCGAAGCAGCCGCCATCATCATCCTCAGTGTTGTTGGAATAATCTCCCAGCTTAAACTATGGCGCGTGATTCAAGAAAGAAGGGCGAAAAAGGCTGCAGAAAAAGCAGAGGATGAACGGAATCTGCAGGCCGAGGAGGAGGCGATTGGTCGACAGGTAGAAGAAGCCAACGCGAGAGATAGGAGGGACTGGGAGAGGGTCTACGGTGATGGCGATGGGCAGACCATCAGCTCTGGTAATTCAGGTTCGGGAGATCTTGAGAAGGAAAAGCACATGATGCAAGCTGCGGCGGCGTTACCCGTATCATCTCAAGCCTCCGAGCGCGCTGTGGGAGAAACGGAACCACTCTCGGAACCGGCCGGGAATACCCCGTCTAATATGCCTCCAGAGGTCCCGCCAAAATCCGAACCCCCTCCGCTCATGGCCGCCGATCCGGAAGGAGATGCGGCCAAGATTACAGTCCTTGTTGTTCCTGAGGAATACCCTGCACCAGACCGTGGCTCGATACGTGACCCTGAAGAGATGGCCTGGGTCTCCAACGCAAGCCAGAGCCCTCGAACCCTCCACGCTCCCGGCGATTCGTCGAACCGCGTGTCCAGGTCCATGACCATTTCACCCCAACCGGATGTCGTGCCCCTGCCTTTTCAAGTTACGGTAAACGACATCGACGGATCGGAGGCTGATCGAGATACAATTGGAGCCCGCTCATCACTTGCAGGTACCTTTGCTGACGACGACGAAGATATCGACCACGAACGCCCTCAGAGTATGCGCCGCTCATTGGTGAAGAGGCTGTCTCAGGGGTCCATGAATCTCCTACACAGTCTATCTCACAAGTCCGACAGGAATCTCACCGGAAAGGATAATAATGGAAGTCAAGAGGGATTGGTCAACCGCAGGTCTCTGGCGCGTACTGAGGATGACAATGGGTCCGTTGCGGCGACAGTCGATATCGAGAGTGTGGATGATGACCGTAGCACCGTCCGAGGCGAAACGGATCAAGACATCGAGATCACCGCCGAACTCTCAGGAAAGGACACAACCGAACCGGAGGGCAAACCGGGAGTTACGGAGTTGACGGAAGGCGTTTCAGCCCTCGAAGTTACTAGCAAACCTAAAAGCGGAACCAGCGAGGCTGGCGCGACACTCGATCTGCAGGTGGACGAAGGAAACGTGTCGAAAAAGGGTAAATCGACGACCTCCGCAAGGTCTTCCCAAGTCGTTGCTCTGACCAAGGACGCACTACCGGACCCTCTCTCGCGCACGGCACTCAAGTACAGGACAAACGAGTGGGTCAAACACTCTACCAGCGCAGACGTACCCGAGCCGGATGAGATTCAGCTTGAAGACTACCCTAAATCCCCCTCGCGGGTCGAAAACGAGAATGCCGCTCCGGTTAACGTCGATGAGCTCCAGCTAACGGCAGAGAATGGTACGCCTAAACCAGCCCAAGTGATGCGCGCAGCAACGGCTACGCCTAGGCTTTCCAGCCATGGCGGCTATGAGCAAGGCCGGCTTCCCATTCAACGAACGCCCTCCTCTTCATTGGCCGTTCGGCCTATCCCAGAGGAAGAACCGGCCATGCGATCAACTAATGTCTCTCCGTCCCCGGAAGAAAGCCGCAGCGTGAGCCGCAACTCAAGCAGCCCACCGCTCGGAATTCCGGCCGTTGTGCCTTACGCTAATGCCAGCACTCTCCTGGGGCAGCGGGAGTCGTACCTCCGGAATAAGACTCTCGGGCCCTATCCGGCTCAGGGAGGCGTTGACTACTCTGTTCCCCTTGACCGAATTCCTAGCGAAGCCGGATCGGTGCGCAACTATTCACCGCATGGGTCTCGCTCGCGGACTCCCGACGAAGACGACATGCCGCTAAGCCAGCGGAGGGCGCTCATCCGACAGAGCAGCCAACACGGACAATCGGCTACGTCTCTTAATAATCTCCGGGCTTCAAGCGCCAATTACCTGGCCGTCCCCATGACTGTCGACAACATTCCGTTCAACTCTCATCAACCACAGCGAGTTTCGTCTGTACCTACCGCGGCGGTACGCGAAGCGCAACTTGCCAACTTTAGGCAGTCCGTAGCGGCAGATCTGCGGGCCGGTGCGCCTATCGTTCCGAGCACTGGCCGCGAAAGTGGACTTGGAGGCATTTACGGTGGGTCTTCCACCTCTTTAAACGGCCCTCACGGCTTCGGCCTAGGGTCTTCTCGGGAGGATGTGCACCGGACTATTGAGGCTCAGCGAGCCATGATGCTTCGAGAAAAGGAAGCAGAGGCGCAGGCGAGGGAAGCAGAGAGGTGGGAGAGGGAGAGGAACGAGCGGGCGTTTGAGCAGATGATGAGGAGCGGCAATCTGCTGGACGCTCATAGGGAAGCCATGCGACGGCTTCAAGGCACGGCGCGGGAAAAGTAATTTGTGTAGGATGGGATCTAAGAGCCCAGTCCACTCCTTGTGATTTTGGGGATTTTTTTTTTTTTTTTTTTTTCTAGCTTTCAGGCTTTATACCCTTCATATCCACGGAGGGTATGAACACATAAGAGTTGTTTTGCATATTACCGGGCTGGGAAATTAAAGCGGCCTGGTTAACAAAAGTCGGTCGTCGGGGATTATTTTTCTGTTCTTTTGATTTTGAATCAGAACAAGAATCATTTTGCGAGGAGAGGGCGGATATGTAACAAGATACCATGAACGAGATTTAATATAGCATATATATTACAAGATAGAGCCTACTTCCCGCGGTGCCTTGCATGCTTGGTTTACTCTATGATGGGTGTCATGTTGAAGTTCTCGTGGCAATGGAGATTGACAGACGATGGTGTCTGCAGAACTTGCTCAGCCTGGTTCAATGTTCCGCGCATACCTCAACTTCTGCAGCTTTTCGACTCGCTGAGATGGATCTTGTCGCAGCACATGAGTGCCTTCAATCATCGAGTTTCGTTTTCCTCTTTCCAAAGCTCCTTCTCAGCCTAAGTTCCAATGAATTGGACAAATCTTCTCGCAAGGATTGCCTAGTTGTCTCGCATCACCACCTAGGCAGCCCCTCTCTCAACACCGAACATGTCCCTCCTTCGATTCGGTAGATTAATGTCCGCAGCTTGCATTTCATGCGGCCTGGGGTCTCGCCACGCGATGGAAGTCTCCTAATTGGCCCTTTTTTTGGCGACTAAGTGCAAGTGCAGATGCCGTAGGCAGCAGGAGCAGAAGGCGAAACAGGCCACCATTTTGACCATCGGGTCGGTGACGTGGGTGGTGGTTTGGTGAAGTCCAGAGGCAGCATATAAGGATTGATCTTGAAGGGTTATATTGATTTGGAATTCTCAGTCTTCGAAGACTGGTTTACCTCGTCCGAATTTCGATTTCCCAAATTTAGAATTCGAATGCCATTCACTGCCTTGGTCCTTCCCAGATACGCTTGATAAACTACATTTCGGTGTACTTCGTTACTTGACGCCACAAACCCCACAATCGTCAGGAGGTTTCGTCATTGTCGTTGTCATCAAACAATCTGATTGCTCCTTCCATTGTTCCATTGTCACTCGATAACTCGATAGAGGGATCGAATCAATTGATTCAACCGATTCCATAAAAACCTTGTCTACTTCTTTACTTCTCTTCCTCAGACCAGCTCTTTCCTGTTTACCTTCCAAGACGATCGCCAATTGAGACAGAGAGCCCGCTATCAGAGTTGGATGAGACCCGAGTTTGCCTCGACATTGCCGTAGCAGAACACAATCGGATCAATCTTTCGAACTGCTGATTATCAGACAACGCTGTTGTTTACTCCCCCCGGCTTAGCGAATCCGACTTTAATAAATAATACCCCGCCAAAACCCCGCGCAGCTGTGGCAACTTGCAAGCTGGTGATCTGAACTTGAAGCTTCAAATAGCTGAGCACCGAGGACATTGAAACGGCATCTCTCTGGAAGCCCCGAGCCTTTTGGGAGACGAGCATTTCTTGCACAGCTGAAACTTCCATTATTAGCTCCTTCCCCATCGACACCTTTCTTTGGACGGTTCTTCACGATCCCAGTTCACGTTGTCATATCAGGCAGGTGGAACCAGTGGCTGAATAACTGGCGACTCATCCAGCTTCTATTCACTTCCTCCTCTTTATTCCGACCTCTTCATCTCTAGTCAAAGAATCTCGAGACCTTTTCTCTTTCTCTTCTTTTCCTCCCCAACCTCGAAGCCTCGCATTTCTCGACAAGTTTGGTAGGCGACTCGACCTCCTACCTCCTTCGCCCTCGCCCTCGCCCTCGCCCTCTCCAAACCCCGACGCTGTTACTTATTTTCCCCAACGCTTTTACTACCAGCATGTCTGTCGATCGAGTCCTCAAGGGTGCTTGCCATTGTGGCCGCTTTGGCTACTATGTTGTGATGCCTGAGGAGCATGAATTGGCCAAGGTCATATTCAGCACTGATCATGTACACCGTAAGAATCGCGACCCAATTGCTTCTTTCTTCATGACCATCCATTCCTTCCCTGTCTTCCCTGCCTTCCCTATTAACCACTTTCCTTCTTGAATAGAGGCCACAATGGCCAACCCTCTCTCCGCATACTTGCGCGTCCCCTTCATGTGGTACCGCAGCATCATCAATCCGCTCCACTCCTTTGAGACCGTGTCCATGATCCGTCGCCGCTACGATTACCAGTTCGACGACTCCGAGCTGGAGGGCCACCGTTACTTCTGCGGCCTTTGCGGTACTCCCATCGCGTACCACAGTGAGGAACCGGAAGAGTCGGACTACATCATGATTACCCTGGGCAGCCTCGATCCTCAAGACCTCCGCGATCTTGAGGCCATGGGCCTCATTCCCACCGAGGAGAGCGTTGAATCCGGAATCTTTGCTGAGGCCGGCAAGACCGCCGTCGCTGCGACCTCGGAGGCTACGGATACCTCTATCGATGACGCCCTCCAGATCCTCGCGGGCATCCCCTGGTTCGACTCGCTCGTTGAAGGCTCAATTCTCGGCAGGCTCACTCGTACCCCCAAGAGCGAGGTCATCGTACCTCGCGATCACACCAAGGTCATTATTCAATGGGAGATCACCGAATTCGAAGACGACGAGTCCGAAGAGGTCAACGACGCCGATGTCAAGACGGAGACACTGTTTGGTAAGAGGAAACTCAGGGACTTTGTCGAAGAGATGGAGAAGGAGCTGGGATTCTAACTTGTTTTTTTCCTTTGTGGTTTTCACCCATGTGCATTAGTTTTTTCCTAAGGGTTTGCATACCTCGGAGGCATTTTGGCCGTGGTTGATCTTTTTTCCGACTCGATTTTCTTTCTTTTCATCTTCCTTTTGTCAACGAGGCTTCAGGAATCGGCGTTCAGGTCATTTGCTGTATTTTTACTACATTTAAAGCCGACGTCTCATTTGTCGATACCGGCATAGAGTTCCATTTTCTCTCTTTTCCCGCTTACTTCACGACATGACGGCAAACTTTAGTTGAGTCTCCTCGGACAACGCCCAGCTCACCTCTGGATCGTCTCGACAAGACGATAGAACTCTTTATCCTTTCGGATGGGGTTGCCTGGTTTACCTTTGGAGTTCCGACCGGTGGAGACATTCGGCGTGGTTTTGCTTTCTTTTCTTTTTCTTCTGTCATAGATCAGACGGCGATGGTCCAAGACATCGAAGCTCACGCGAAACGACGATGGGTTAAGTTGGGAGAATGTGGTTTTCAAGAGCAACCTTGGTCTGTATATCTCTGGTGATATATAGCTTTCTTTCTTCTTTTTCCTTTAGAGTTGAAATATCGATGGTCAGCCACATAATCGAGTTCGAGGCGGGTTGGTTTGTGCGATGTGCCATAGACTTTGGTTGTTTGCACGGTGATGCGGTACAATGGTTCTAAAATGTTGCTGTTTCTAGCTCTTTTATGCTACGCGTTTCTCGTTCATCTTCTGGGTGGAGGGAGTACGGATGCCCTTGTTCGAATGGGGTCTAAGCTGGTGCACATGACGAAGCCATCCTTATCACGGCCCCCGAGCTTGGATAGACTCTCTCGAGTAAACAGCCACAGGCAAGAAAGATACTTGAGAGGGGTGACCCCCCAGAGAGAGTGGGTGACAGCATACACGATACAACACCATAACATGCATATACTTCATATCATATCAAGGCGTAAGAAGCAGCAAGTCGTTTGCAGAAGGGCAGGCATCTAATTGACCCGGAATATATTATCCCCGTCTCCAGCACCTGCAACCCACGCCCTCTCTTAAGTTTGTTTTTCTTCTAGGACCAATGGCGCCAGCGTCTTGGTTCCCCTCGGGGTTTGAGTGCACGGTGCCTCCGCCGGGCGGTGGGAGACTCCGGTACCAAACTTTCAACGGGCCACGGAGGGCTGGGATTGATGGATCTTTGAATCCGACGGGAATCGACGGAGGAACCTGGATGTTTTTGCTCCCCTGCCTGTACCTCCACGATGTACGTGTATTTCAACGCTCGGTGCGGAATTACAGCGAGGCTTCGCTTTTCGGACCCATCTCTAAGGGGATTGGGTCTATCCGGAGGCAAAGCGTAAGCAGAACCTCTCGCCAAACTCCATCTCATCTCGCTTCGTGCTATCAGAGTGGTGGAGATTCTTTTTGTATGGGGGTGGTTCCACCAGGCAACAGTAGCTTCAAAGATCTCGCTCGGTCGTATGTCCTCCCCGAGATATTCATGATTGGCGAGGTGAGGCGGGTTGGGAAAAGGGTTGAGAGGGGTTGGATACGATAACGGGAGGAGGAGGGGCAGTTGTTATTATCGATATTAGATCAATTGAGTCCGTCTTACCAGGAGGTACAGCGTAAGTACCGTTCCGGGGGGTTTGGCAGAGAGTCTCTTACAACGATGGGCGTAGCGGACACTCGGGCCGGATGCCGGTACTTATAGGTACATCCGGTATGGTGGGGGGAAAGCGGGGGAGGAGTGCAGCAGCGATATTGGAGGGTATCACGTACTTTGGGGGCTTATTGCTTGCGTTAAAAAGCGGGCGGAACCCTGGTAGCTTAAGAGGGGTCAAGCTGCATCTCTCTGTCTATTGTTTGGGCGGATCTATCTTTGTACGAATCAGTCAAGAGCTTGAACTTGTTTGGGACTTGGGACTAATGCAATAGGATTTGACAGCCATTGGAACCAAACTGGCAGCTTTCTGGAAAAGGAGGACTTGGGAGAAATGCAATGGATGGCTGGATCATAAGAATCTGGGGTCAAACGCCACCACGATGTTTCCCCGCCCATCTCCTGGACATTAGAGAGAGAGCACAAGAGCACCCCGTGTCCACGACTTTGGCAGTTTTGTTTTGTAACGGAAGACACCATCGCGAGGTTGCATCAGTTGTCCCCTTGAACGTCCGAGCCGCCGCAATCGTGCGCTCTCGCACAAAGCACTTACGGAGTACGAAGTCCGGACAGGGTTGCCATTGGAGATGCCCGCCTAAGAGAAATTGATGATCGTCCCGTGATGCTAGCCTGCATGATCGTGGATGGCCGTGCTGGAGTTGTGCAGTTGTGCACTATTCATTTTCTAGAGTTGAGAGAGGATTAGACTAGCTACTTTTAGGTCTCTTAATTGCTTCTCCAACCAGCCAGACCTCGATAGCATTGAAATATGGCTTTTACCCAGCTCTGCATTGTTAGAGCGAGACAAGATCTCTGCTGGAGAAGACAACTCTGACAAGCTCAAACGTCTTTGTTGTTCCGAATCGTTGGGGTAAGCAGGTATTGATCTCGTCCCGGTTTCCCCGAAGTGGAATGAGGGAATCTCGAGAACAGGACCTTGGCCAGTCAAAATGGAGTGTCTGGGTCGACGATGAATCGTGGAACCTTGAGAAGTTGGATGAGGGAAGAGGTTAAGTCCAATTGCCATGTTGGTGTCCCCACATTTTTGCTGTCTCCGTTATGCCGGTTGGAAAGGTGACATTAGCACAAATCGGGCACAAAACAGGCATAAACCAAACACAACGATCTGTACAAATATTATGCTCATGCATGGTTTTGTGCAATTCAATTTCACAAACCCATGCATGAGCACACCTGTTGCACTCGGCATAAACTTAGTCGTGGCACTCTATCTATCCCTGTCCACTGCATTTCTCCCATTGGTCCCAATTCGCCCTCGCTTCCATCCCATCAATCCCATTGCCAGGCTTCCGTCCAAAGTCCACGCAAAATAGCTTACCACGAAGGAGACAGAGCCTATCCCAGGCTCAGTCTTCCTCGCTTCTGCCCTTCTGTTCCCCTTTCGTTTGGGGCTCACTCCTCTCCGCATATCATCCGTGGACCCACGCCACTGGTCATTGATGCCACTCGCCGCAAAACCTCCCATCAAACACGAACACACACATGACAAGCCCACACAGGGATTCCCCAATCCAAGGAACGGGAACGGCCCAGCTCCCACCAAGTACAATGTCGCCGTCCTTTCGGTCACGACGGTCCGATACGCGATACACTTGCACAATTTTGAATAAACATAACTCTTGTGCTATGCCTATCCTGTCTTATTCATGTCTTGTGCTCTTATGTGTATTTTATGAACGAAATGTGCGAGGCGGACGCTGTTCCGAAATATCGAGACCCCTCCCCTCCTCCTCCTTCTCTCCTCTGACCTCGTTACTTTGCTCCCTTTGTCAAGACGGCCAACGGGCATTGAGTCCGGCTGGGCATACGAAGCAGGGAAAGGAGGAAGGAGTGTCATCCCATATGTTCCGCCCCCTGGACATGTCTAATTGTAGTTTTGTAGTCCTGGAGATGGGTAAAAGGTCGAGCAGGACGGGTCCACGTCCAAATTTTATATATATAAAGACGTGATGCTCCTGCCCACCCTCCCCGGTCCTGTTGATCTCTTCTTTTTACCTTTCGTTTTTATCCTCCTTCTATCCATTCTTCTTGCTAGTACGATCCTGTTCCTGTCTCGTAAGGAAACTCCATACACGCAAGACTTAGTGTAGTTCTAAACACACTTTGATAAAACATCAACATTCCATACATTATCCCTAAGATCTCGAACCAGGTCTCCATCTTTTAACCTTCAAAGATGTCTCTTCCCAAGGACTTCCTCTGGGGTTTCGCCACCGCCGCGTATGTATCATGAACCCTGTTACCCCAGACTTTTTTTGCCCAGATAAATTTCCCCATCAAGTCACTTCCGTTTCATCCACACGCTGCCTTTCCACCCCCGCCTTGCATCACCGACCGACAGGTCCACCCTCACCCATGCCACAATTGCACCTTCGGAGGGCTACTCGGAGAGAGGCGTTGGCGAATCAAATCGGCGCCGGCCTCTTCGCCTCCGGCCCTCGGACCCAGTCATTTAGCTACACCTTGTTTTTCTGACTTTATATCCCGCTGTCAATTTCGCCCAACAAGAGAGTCTTGATATCCGGGGCAAATTACTCTGGTGGTTTTTTTTTTAAAACCTCCTCTTGGAAATTTCGCGTTGCCTATGCCTGTGTGCATTTTCCTTGTTTTAGTTACTCGCTCTACCCGCCCCGCCCTCCGCATCTCCGGCCCGGCCTGCCTAGCCCGAGACTAAAAACCAACTAACACTTTTCCGTCTCCCCACACTCTAGTTACCAAATCGAAGGCGCCAGTGAAAAAGACGGTCGTGGCCCCTCCATCTGGGACACCTTCTGCGCCATCCCCGGCAAGATCGCCGACGGCAGCTCCGGCGCCGTAGCCTGCGACTCGTACAACCGCGCCGGCGAGGACATCGCCCTCCTCAAGGAGCTCGGCGCCTCCGCCTACCGATTCTCCATCTCGTGGAGCCGAATCATCCCCCTCGGCGGCCGGAACGACCCCGTCAACCAGGCGGGTATCGACCATTACGTCAAGTTCGTCGATGACCTCACCGACGCGGGAATTACGCCCTTCGTCACACTGTTCCATTGGGATCTCCCCGATGGTCTGGATAAGCGATATGGTGGGCTTCTTAACCGTGAGGAGTTCCCTCTTGATTTCGAGCACTATGCCCGGACCGTGTTCAAGGCTCTTCCCAAGGTGAAGCACTGGATCACCTTTAACGAGCCCTGGTGCTCCGCCATTCTTGGTTACAACACGGGTTTCTTCGCCCCCGGCCACACGTCGGACCGTACCAAGTCCGCCGTCGGCGACTCGGCCCGCGAGCCCTGGATTGCCGGACACAACATGCTCGTCGCCCACGGCCGAGCCGTCAAGGCCTACCGCGAGGAATTCAAGCCCACCAACGGCGGAGAGATCGGCATCACGCTGAACGGCGACGCCACGTACCCTTGGGACCCCGAGGACCCCGAGGACGTGGCGGCGTGCGACCGCAAGATCGAATTCGCCATCTCGTGGTTCGCTGACCCCATCTACTTTGGAAAGTATCCGGACTCGATGCTTGCACAGCTCGGGGACCGTCTGCCCACTTTCACGGATGAGGAACGCGCTCTCGTGCAGGGTTCCAACGACTTCTACGGCATGAACCACTATACGGCTAACTACATCAAGCACAAGACGGACACGCCCCCCGAGGACGATTTCCTCGGAAACCTGGAGACTTTGTTCGAGTCCAAGAACGGCGACTGCATCGGTCCCGAGACCCAGTCCTTCTGGCTCCGTCCTAACCCCCAGGGCTTCCGCGACCTGCTCAACTGGCTCTCCAAGCGCTATGGTCGTCCCAAGATCTACGTCACTGAGAACGGCACGTCGATCAAGGGCGAGAACGACCTGCCTAGGGAGCAGATTCTTCAGGATGACTTCCGCGTCGAGTACTTCGACAGCTACGCCAAGGCCATGGCGGACGCCTACGAGAAGGACGGCGTCGATGTCAGGGGTTATATGGCCTGGTCGCTTCTGGATAACTTCGAATGGGCTGAGGGATACGAGACGAGATTCGGGGTAACTTTTGTGGACTATGCCAATGGCCAGAAGAGATATCCGAAGAAGAGTGCCAGGTCTTTGAAGCCGTTGTTCGATTCTTTAATAAAGAAGGATTAGGAGGGGATTTTTGTTTTTTTTCTTGCGGCGGAGGGATTCTGAATTAGTGGCGAGGTCAAATATATGACTCATGAGAGCAGAATGATGCATCTTTTTGAAATTTTGGATATTTTCTTGGATTTATTTGCTGCGAAAATGTGACGTGTTGGTGAACTCGCGATATTCAAGTCGTTGGATGCTCTGACTCCGTACCTTCCACTTTAGGCTCCGGCCCCACCCGGATGCGCGGAGCCGCGATGTACCTGTGTAGACTTCGTAGTGTGAAGACAACCAACCAGACCGAGGACGGAAGACGCATTTAAGCATCAAGCGCTCAAGCGCCCGCATGAGATTGAACGTTCACTGCTCATGTATAAATTCTAGTGCGTCCCTGTTTAGACTTCTATTTGTGGGATCGTAGGCTGGCGATTCGAAATTTCCCGTCCTCCCAGGCGCTACTCGTCTGAGAGCGGCTATCTACTCTTCGGTGCCTTCTTCTCCAAGCATGCTTGCCCCAGCATCACCACTTCCCCTCTGCGGCGCTTTGGGAGTCTCCGAGGCAATTCTCGCCCTCTCAGCCTGTCTGGCTTTAATTTCCACTATCCGCATATCCCGCTTTGGTAGTAAGGCTACTGCATCATCAACGTTCAGTGATCCCTCTTTTACTCTCCGCCATAGTGAAAAGAACTTGATCTTGCTTCTGGGCAGTAGCATTAGACGAAATTATTGGATGAAGAATTTAGTCGCTGCTGGTAACTGGGAGTGGCGTTCAGAGGGCAAGAGGGTCAGGACTCGAGAGTATTCTGATTTAATATAGAGATTGAGATTGGAATTGAGGCCGGAGTCGGTTGAGCGCTGAACGATGGTCTCGATCAATGCTAAAATTGACAACTTAGTGATAAAATTTCTTCGGTGAATGCAATGGAGATGTCTATTTACCATGCAAATACGGTTCAAGGCGTGGAAATCGACACTTCGATCCAGGAAGAGCAGAGTGTCCGAAAAGAAAGATGGCCCATCGAGGTCCAAGTGCCAAAGAGAAGAAGGGTGGATCAAAATTCCCACGGTATCTGTCCTCGATGATGGACGCCGCAACCGATATCCAGGCCAGCCAGAACTGCAATCTTTCGCTGGTTTGAGTGATCTGAATCGGAGGTCGTTTTGAGCTTCTTCTGTGTAGCCGTGTTCAACTAGCTTTTCAAAAGCGGACTGGAGCGCATCATCGGCGACGGCGATGTAGACGTCACTGATAACTACATCGGAGCCGTAAACAACTGTAGCTAGGTCTCCGACGATGCAGGCTCGATACCCGTGTTTCTCGAGAATTTCTGCGGCGAAGATCTCTTCTGACAGGTCCTCGGACCGTCCTAGTTGTTCTAGGTTCCAGGTGACGGGAAACTCCATGAGGGTAAGGGTGGCTCGACCTAGAACACAGCACGGAAGCGTTGTATGGCTGGGTGTAAAGTTGATACAAGGGGAGTGGATTTGGAATTTGAAATGGACGGCTTTGACATCAACATAGAGAAGCGACTAGAGTGATTCAAAAAAGTACGCTTTTCTCATGACTAGGCTTAATCTGGGATTGTTCGTTCCTTTGAGTGATTCATGACCCTCTCAAAGCAAATTCCACCTGACCCTCCATGTTTATACCCCGAAGAAAACCCCCGTCCATTAAAAAGAAAGAAAATAGAAAAAGGAAGGCACTAGCGTAAGTTGGGTAAACCGTATCGAGATTTGGTTCACAATAGCGGGGAGAATTATATTTGATTCTCAGCTCAATGGAACAGATTGGGAAGAACAGAAAATGCAGTGGTGAATAACATTCCAAGAGCCTGTGAAAGAAAGTCTCAGACCGCCACCTTGGGACCGACGTATACTTTTTCTAAAATTATACAGGGAAAAAAAGTGAATGTATCGATGATTCTTCGAGCTTGAATCATGCCGGCTGTCTGATCATTTTGGCCCAAAATTGAACGATCGAAACTTGATTGTTGGAAGAAGCTTCGCTGCCTGGCGTTTGTCCCCTTCGTTTTCCTGATGGATTCTGAGGGCAGATTGAACGGACACGGGATTGAGCTACCGGCGTGGAATTGGGCCGTCGGGACCGGGATTCGGCGTGGCCGGGTCCGGCATTGAGGTCTCTCTGTCCGGACTGAATTCCGTTTTTCGCTTGACTTGTGGGAATTAGTGGCGGCATGGTCTAGCCTGGTGCTTAGCAAGACGTCAGTGGATTGTTCCAGAAACTCAACTGTTTTCTCTATTACCTTCGTCTCGACCCTACCTTCACTTCTCATCCGTGCTCATTGCGTTTCTTCTTTTATTTATATATATTTTTATTATTGAGTCGTCGCGAAAATGGCAGCGGACATGCTCGCCGTCACGGCCCCGACCTACTGCGACCCATCTCGGTATGAGCTCTCTACTATACCACGACCAAGAATCACAGAGCCGACGGATGTGATTATACAGGTTCATGCAGCGAGCATCAATCCTGTGGATGTGAAGAAGGCGGACGGGGTGTTTAAGCTGGCAGTCAAGGAACAGTGAGTTACCTTGATTTCACCCTCCTCTTACGTTTTGGGGCTGATGTCTGTAACGTAAGATTCCCATACCAAATCGGATACGACGCTGCAGGTGTGGTTACAGAGATTGGAGATGGGGCTCAGAAATTCAAAGTTGGGGACGAGGTTTATACGCGATTGCCCGAGGTTGGTAGAGGTAATATCTAGTCCCATTTCCGTCCTGTGTGACATCGTCATCATGACTGACACTTTGGGCAGGTTCGTGGAGTGAATACGTGAAATGCGCCGAGTCCTATGTTGCTCTCAAGCCCAAGAATCTCTCATTTGGCGAAGCCGCCTCCCTCCCACTTGCAGGCGTCACAGCGCTGCAAATCTTGCGACAGTACAAGGGATCGCTTGAGGGTAAAACCGTCTTTATACCCGCCGGTTGTAAGTTGCGGCCTCAACTGCTCCCGCATTCGATGGTGAAAAGGTGAGAAGGTGCTGATACGCTGGGTTTTCTTTCTTAGTGAGCGGCACGGGTGCATTTGCGTGTCAACTTGCCAAAAACGTCTTCCACGCCGGCAAGGTCATCACTACGGTTTCTACGTCCAAGATTTCAAAGGTTCCCGAACTCCTCGGCCAAGGCGTAGTAGACCAGAGTGCGTGTCTTATTCCTCTTCCTTACTCTCCATCGCTTTGTTGAACTAACCCTATCAGTTATCGACTACACGAAAAACGATCCGGTAGATGTCATCCCTCCCCGGTCTGTCGACTTTCTCTTCGATACCACCGGCCAAGCCATGCAATTTCTTTCTCTCATGGTTCCTTCCACTAGCCTCATCGCCTCCATCTCCACGAAGCCGTCTGCGACAACCCTCCAAGGATCGAGTGTCATGAAGCGGCCTGATAATCCTCGTATCCCGCTGTTCGGGCGCCTGTTCCTCGATGCGGGCGACATGGCACGTAAGCTGCGAGCCCGGCGCTGGGGCGTGGAGTATATGTACTGGTTCTTGGACCCGAATGGCGAAGACCTGGATACCCTGAGGGGGTACGTGGAGGAGGGGAAGTTGGTGCCCGTGGTGGGTGCGACTGTGGACCTGAGGGACATCGGAAAGGTGCGAGAGGCGTGTATGATAGTTTATAACGGAAAGGGCGGATTGGGGAAGACAGTCTTTGAGGTTATCCAGGGGTAGGCGAAGCTCAAGGGAATGCTATTGGGCTTTGAATGAGCAAGATTTCGCCCAGGTCGAGATGTGCGGCGGATGCCGACTGGACTAGAAGATGTTTATATGGTTGTACAGTGGCAACCAGAACATAATACCATACATTATAGTTAGAATGTGTCGGTCTTGTGGCCCATGATCCTCAGCGAGATTCTCATGCCGGACGCGGATGACGCGGTCAACTGTGTTCCTGCCTTCCTTTCCTTTTTCTATTTCTTTTTTTTATTTCTTTCCTTTATTGTGTTTTTTTTATACCCCACTCTTTCCTCTTCCTGTCTTTTTCGTGCGATTATTCAGATGCTGGCTTATTGACTTGAATCAGATCTCTGCTTGCTCAATTCTGGAAACAGGCGGGAGCGGAATGGTTGATACTCACTGTCCGGAAGTATGATCTGAACCGCCCGCGGAATCTAATCGAGGGACTTCGTCGATCTCTGCTTCCATGCCTGCTTGCTTCTCTCGTCAGGAGACGGCAATCTTTTACAGCTTCATCAATACTCACTATGGAGGGCTCGGTCCCACATAGCATGGGCCTCCAAATCGCTGACAAGAGGCCTAAACGCCGCTCCATCCTTGTGCTTCTGTAGGCAGTGCATTCTCGAGTTTGACCGGACCGTCGTCTTGTATCCTGGTGTATCTGATGGGCATCCTGGGCATTTTGTTGTTGAGAGAGCGAAATGACTAGCAACATGCACTTTTGGATCAGGTCGATGTTCCCAACTGTATGCGGTTTTGTCACAGTCCTTGTGCGGGAATGCTGTCTGCTCCTTGGCTTTCGGTTGGCGCTTGTCCTCGTGCTTGAGGATCCTGGGCTGCTCGTATGTTGTATACGACTTGGGGCATCCTCGGTCTTTGTTCTTACAGAACACAACATGAAGGCTTCATGGATCCCTCGAATTCCCAGCACTCGGACCCTCCCTCCCTTGATTAAATGCATAGGTGTTGACCTCTCCCGTTCCCGCAAGTTCTCCTTCTACGAACTTGCGACGTTTCATCTCTCGGAGCTGTAAACTTGCCTTCTGGCAGGCGGGCATCGATATCTTACGGCCGCCGTGTCTGGCGTCGTTGGCCCCGTCATCATAATCGTTCTCGACAGAGGGATCAGCGTTCCTCTTTGTCGCCGCAGGTCCCGCTTCGATTCTGCCGAGTCCGCCCTTCTTCGTCCGCAGTGCTTGATATTGAGGCCAGAGCACAAGTAGGCTTTGGAAGAGTCAGGATTTCTCTCGTCCTCAGCCCACTCGAGTTCTTTCCTTCTAAATGTGGCCTTCGGCCTGTCCCCTGACAGGCTCTTGCCAGTTGTGCCATGATTCCATCGTCGCGACTCCCTTCCCATTTCTATCTCATTCCCCCTTCCACAGAATCATAGCTCCCTCCTTCCTTAATCCGCTAGCCTGTGTTCCCAAGACTAGTTCATGACTTCTTCTTTCGTTCCGAGACCATGATTCATTCATTTGGCCCCATCACAGGCTCACATCTTCATATATCTAGCTACACTATAGCTTCCTTTTCCATTGCAAAGTCTCCGCTCTCTATCATGTGCGTCCAGCCAGCCTGCCCGCAGCTTCCATTAGCCCTCTCTTAATATCGCAGCCTTCTGATTCATAACCGTTCCCTCCTAATCTCACGGGTTTCTTCCTTTCCAAGTTGTCTGGTTCTTTAACTACTTCTATACTATTATATTACTTTACTCAACTTCTCCGTCTGTCCTCCCCCTAGAGGGAGACAAGATGCACAGTTCAATACGTCTTCTTCCTTTACTCCTTCCTCTACTCTTTACTTGCTCCTGACTCACTCCTCCTCTACACCTCCAGTACCAAACTATATAAGGAGGTCTATTCCTCCTCCCATCCGAATTTCTTCTCTCCCCTTTCCCCTACACACTCTCTATATATACCCCGAGTAACACTACTACACCCGCCACTACCCAACTATACAAGTATTGATGTCTATTCCTCATCCTATCCTAGTTTCCCTCTCCTGTTTTTCTACGCACTCTTCAGTGTATGCCTCGAGCAACCCTACTACACCTGTCACTGCTTCCGAGGGAAGGAAATATTGTCTCTGCTCTATTACGTCTAAATTGTCGAGACGGATCGAATCCCCAAGGAAGCCTCTACTCGAGCACATTCTACACCGTTCAATCTGAGCGCAAGCCAGATCGATTTGAGTGGCTGGCATATTTGTTAATGCTGAGGGAGCACAAGGAGTCAATTCCGGGAACTGTTACGCCAACATGTTGCCTGTTTGCAGGCTGTAACCACTGCACCAAAAGGGCCACCTGCGAGGACTTGCCTGGCAGGTTGTTACAGCGCCGTATGAAGTCTCGTAACGTAAAATCTCATCAGAACATGCATCGACCGGGCATGGTTGGACATTTTCACATTCGACGGTCGAGACATACCTCCTACGGAGGCAGCTGCTCACAGCAAGAAAAGTGGATCATGGAGTTCTACGAGACCTTGTGGCCCATCGGCCAAGAGCTCACGGGCACGCATCAAGTGTCCTCTAAACGATTAAAGGGCTCACTGTTTCCAAAGTCAAGAGGGCCATATCCGGGTCTACATCTAGAAATTCGGATCAGGATCCCCAAAGGATCACAACAGAGGCGCACAAGATCCTCGACATCCGCCGGCGGCCCAAATATTGAGCGAACGGGTGTGGAGAGTTTATACATCACGGGCTCCGTTCTTCTCATCGACGTATGTACCGAATGGGAAGGAGGACCCGAAGAACCGAGTTGCCGACGATTCGCCCGACATGCCACTTTGGCCCACGACCGGTGCCACATCTTATCGGTCTCCTTAACCAAGGGTTACATATTCATTCGATGCTAATTATTGGAACCGCGCCGCCGAGGCAAGTGGAATTATGACGCGGTTCTGCGAGGCAGATTTGAACTTGGCGATCCAAGAATGGAGAGACGAAGGTGATCAGAATGCTAAGGCTTGGTGGGCAACTTCTGAAGCTGGCCAATTGGTGGATCGAGTCCAGCTATTTCGGTCGTGCCCTTGGAAGAGGCGGTGACGAAAGAGGGAGAAGGTTGGAAGATACGGCACCAACCCGACACGTCGAGCGAGATGGAGCTCGCAGATAAAGATCCTCGGAAGGTGAACCGAGTGGAGGACATACTTACGATGGATAGCCCTGCCGCGATACATCGGGCATATTCAAGGAGTGGATCGTGGTGCTCAACAGAAAATCGGCTCTGAACTGGGGTCCTGGCCAACTACCCCGTACAAATTCCTCCGGGAAGGCACTGAATACCTCCAACCTGTCATTTTCCCCCTCTCACTTGGAAAATGCGGCATGATGCCACGGATTTACGGTCGGCAACTCCCGATGGGCACGTCGCCAAACTCGCAAGGGCACCACTCGTCAGTGTTGAGTGGGGAGAGTTCGACACCTTATGGAAATGGCAGAGTTACGGTCGGAAAATCAAGAAGGAAGTGGTACGAGAAAAGGAGTGGATCACCATGAGGACGCACGGATGGCATTCCTATCCGACTCAGGCCAAGAGGAGTTGCTAGAGTTTTGGAGAAGAGGAGTGAGGACACGATGGCGGAGGTGCCACGAACACCCTGGCAGAGAATGAACAGGGACAGGAAGTCCGAATTTGGCAACGTCGTGTGATAAGAGCGACGAGAAGCGCGGCGGTGATAGTGAGCACAGCGGCAGACCGTATCCGTCCGCAAGATCACACCAAGTTGACACGCTGAGTTGGCACTCAACCCGTTGCCAAGTATCTACGCATGCTATGTAGATTTAGACTCACTCTTGTCTCTTAGGTTATATAATCACATGTTCATTCAATGTTATTCATGTCCGCCATCATCTAAGCTACCTCAGTAGTGCTTGTGCCGGTGACATTTGGCCCGAAAGGTAAAATCGACCCAAGTCGCAACGATAGCCTCGTAGCAGGTGATTTCAGGAATATGATAAACGAATGGGAGCCCCCCCAATCATGGCTTGATGTTGGTTTCTAATGCTCCGTCCCTTTGGTTCTGTCCTGACCTTCCACTAATCTTTCTCTCGCCGCTTCCAGTTTGCATCCCCGATACCAAGGAACTGAACAATACCAAACTTTCTTCTATCGCGGCCTATGTGATTCCGATATTTCCTTCCGGTCTACCATGGGCCTCATAAAAGGAGTCTCAGAGGGGCTCAACCTCATTTATTCCACGCTCCGATCAATCTTGAAACCTTTTGGCCCAACTCCTGAGGGGGAGGAGAGCAATCGCCCCAAAGAGAGTAATGATGAGGAGCAGCCAGAACATCCCCAGCCCCCGATCCAACGTCTACCTGACGAAGTTTTATTAGAGATTTTGTCCCATCTCAGCATAGAATCCTTATTCCTTTTAGGCCGGACCTGCCGCCTTTTCTCGCGTCTGATCCACGACCGGACTTTCCAAGCAATGTTCAAGCCTTACCGCGAGGAGCCTCAACCCGGCCAGAGGTCATGGAGAAAACCGATCTGGGGTAAAGCTTCGCGCAATCGGGTATGCCGTCTACTGCGTAAAGACAAGTACTGCAGCGACTGCTTCCGTACACATGAAAACGGGTATTTCTCATCATCCCGCTCATGGATGAAGTCGACCCTCTTCTGTTCCGGCTGTCAGACCACCCACCCGAGGTTTCTATTCTCTGCCAACCAACGAGCTCAAGCCGATTCGAATCGTATCTGCATTGGCCGGCAAGGCTGTGTGAGGGTGTGCGAACACAAGTCGATCACCTGGTCAGACATTGAGAAGTGGCCTAGGCAAAGGAGTCGGCGATGGGAAACGATCGTTTGTAGAGAGTGTTGCTCATTCAGGGAGTATTATATGTCTCTTGGGCTATCTTACCCTACCAAGATTTCGTGGGGAAGGGTTGCGGAAGCTCTGAGCATCATGATTTTCCGGCAAATTCCCGTTTTTGAACTGGGTTGGCGTCTTAGCCAGCCACCGCAAGCAGAGCTCGAAGAGCTTTGCCGCACTTCACAGAAAAAGACGGCTTTCGACGAGTTTGCCTGCCCACATATCGGGCCCCTTGATGGACAGCGTATGCTGGCAGCCTTCGATCCATCCACATGCGCATGTGTTAATACCTCAGATATCAACCCTTGGAGATATTATAAGAAGAGGAGACACTCGTTCTGCTTTTCCTGCGAAAATACGCGCAAATACAATCGAGAGTTCATCTCTCAAACATCTTGTATTCTTCCGTGCAAGGGCAAGTACCGCACGCAAAAGAAGGGTAGGCAAATGGTGGTGGACGGGCTCAAATACCTATGGTGTCTCGAGAGACCTGATCAGATAGAGTGGGTTGTAAATCTTGACCCTAACTCCTATTCGATTACGGAAGATGACGAAGGAAAGCATATTACCTGGTGCCCTGACCCGACATGTAAAACTCAGTACATGTGGTCTGGTATCACCCAGGCCTTCTGCATCTATCTCCACAGACAATTTCTGGGGAATATGGACGATATGGACGATGCGGACGATACGGACTATACGGACGATCTGGATGATTTGGATGATCTGGACGGTCTGGACGATATGTCAGATATGTCGGGCATGGGGGATATCTCCGATCTGGAGGAGATGGAGGATACGGACGACACGGACGATATGGATGCCCCATTGACATCGTCCTGCAGTCCATCGTAACGCCTCGAGATTAGCGCAGTTCTGCGAACCTGGGAGGATTGGGTATTACATTTATGTGCAGTTAGTTGACTGCTAGCTGACCTCGAGAGAAATTGAGCAAATTCGATGAAGCCGGTCACGAAACATCAAATCTCGAGACCTGGGTCCCGTGACCTGTGCCAGGCATCGCCTCACACTGTACAAGACGCTAAGCACCGAAGTTAGCATTGTACGGCCAGGATAGTAACTTGGGCTTCTGATTACATGTGACATCAATGCCGGATCGAGGATTCCTACGGCGGCAGATTGAATTGTTTTCGACGATCCCAAGGGTCGACGACTTGGGTACTCAGTATATGTGGTGTAGTTCTGTCCACTCCGCCGTCTCGGACATCGAGGCGGGGCAGGAGCCCAATGACAACATCGGACTTGAAGCTTCATCCCGCAGGTAAGTAAAATATTGATGTATTCGAGGGTGGAAAAGACAGACGTATTAAACGCACTAACTATGCACCTCGAAATAAGGCAGGGAAGCTCGTCGGAAGAGAGAAAACGTTTCGCAAGGGAGTCGCCTTTATTTTTCTCGGTCACGGCTTCCAATTGGAGTCGCGTCTAATGTCTCCGTGACTCGAAGCTTGGACCGCGCCTTCCGCATCCGGGTCGAGATTCTCGGAGCGGCACGGTACTGTGTCAAGACCAACTTGTTATATATAAATAACATCAATTGACACTGTCTACCTCAGTAGCCTCAATAAGATCCAGCATTAGCAGTGCTATATCACAGTATTGAACTTCAATGTGGAAGGTCAAAGATGGACAAACACAATATTGTGTATGTAGGTAGCTAAGATGGGTAAGAAATTTTTACCAAGTTGCAGATTAGGGGTTTTCCTTCCTTTAATTGACCAAGGAAGAATTTCACCTGAACTAAAGCCTTATTGTCTGCACTTTCCTTTGACTACACACGACCTCTTTTCCCTCTCATAAGCAGGTTCACAAACACATGTGCTTCTTCTTCCCCTTGCATATCCCCAAGTTACCATTTCTCGCAGCTATTCCCCACAAGAACTTCCACCTGAAGGTTGATCGTTGCCTATTTCAAGTCCAAGTCGCAGATTTCTTTATCTACTTTATACCTCTATATATCAGCCACCATGTTCTTCATGTCCAGTGGATTCACACTCATCTCCTTCTACCACAATCTCATCAAAATCTGCCAGCTCTACCAAACCCGATCTGATTCACCCCATACCTCCAACAAACCAGAGGTACGGTTGATGGTCATCTGATATAGTGACCCATATCTAACCATATACCTCCAGTTCCCTCCCCGAGATGGCCATCACCCCGCTGGAGGTGGACCCCATGGAGGTGGACTCCCCGGCTTCCAGCCACAGCGCCGTTAGTGGTCCCGCCAACCAAGAGCCAGCTTCAGCAGTCGATCCTGCGCCCAAGCCCACCGGGGGCTCGCGAGTCACCAAGAAGACCATGAGAAGGATGGAGCAAAAGCTCAACATGTTACGGAGGCAGCATACCGACAAGCTGTTCCAGCTGCGGGAGGGAGGTGCGGAGATGAGCGAGGAGGCTGTGAAGCAGACTCGGGTTCTCATGAAGTTGATTCACTATGGCAAGGCTGTTGATGAGTTGAAGCTGGAGATGTTGGCAGATGCCATTGAGGATCTTGGCTGCGATGGTTAAGTTTGTTTTTATGCGAGGCTGACTGAGGGATGCCAGTGGTTGTTTTCGTACATCTTTATCGTGAAGTTTACAGAGTTTCCCTTGTTTGGGGCTGTCATACTCTGCAGTTAATGAATTGAAATTTATCATGAGCGAGATGTCTGGGATTCCCACAGGCTCAGGAAAGCCAAAAGGAATAACTTGTAGACATGCAGGACGCTTCTTGCCGCCAAGATCCCAGTTGGATCCTGTATTCCCAAACCCTCCACCCATGGGCTATCGTACATAGATAGCCTCAGCTTATCTCCATTTCCTGTAGCATAACCCTTCCATGCTCAACTCTGCAATATTTTGGGCCCTGCCAAAGTCCACTCTCCTGACAGGCGTGAAAAATAGACAGAAGGAGCAACACAAGCAGTCTTAGAGAATTGAAAGGAAGGTGCAGACTAACCAAGATTGCCTCCCTTAAGGATGGCAAGTGAAGCCCACAGCCAATCCCTTTACTTCCTACATCTATTCATCGTGGATATTCTACATACCGACTTAATATCTTCTTACTCTCCATCACTCCTCATTTCCATTTGCTTCCTAGCCTTGCTGTATGTTACCCACATCCGAAAGCCTACTGCACTGCATGCACTAGAATATACACCATTATTAACATCACCTATGGCTACTCCAGGCCCCAACGGGCTCAACAGGGTCAACGGACTCAACGGGCTCAACTGCAATCATGTGCCACCCCCTCCCCCAGACTCGCTAGATGATGAAGACGACGCCATCGAGTCGCTCAACTCGATTATACAAAGATACAAGGACCTCATGCGTGTTAGTACATCCGAGCTCAAGACGCTCGTGGTACGCGAAACCCACCCCCAGTTCAAATCAAGTCACACACACACACCCCCCCCGGGCCAAGGCTAACAGATCTGGAAAAACAGACCATAACATGCGAAATGTCAATCCGAAGCCTCATCCGCGGACCGAACGCTATGACCCTCCCCCAAGCCCGCCACTATTTCATAAACAATTACCTCCGCTATGTCCGCAAACGGATCTCCATCGGGCTCTGGATAAAGTACATGGAGCGGAGGGCGGAGGAACTGCCGGAGGCGAGGGACAATATCAATCGCGTTCTTGACGTGACCCGCGAGGTTGCCGAGGGGTACGACGAGTACACGGATGCGAATTGGTATGAAGGGGATCTGTTCAATCGGCTGGTGATGGAGCTTTGTGAGGAGATAGATGCGATCATGAAGTTGAAGATTCGCATCAGGGAAATTCGGAGGCGGCTTGTTGCTGAGGCACGTTATTATTTTCCATACGTATAAGGCTGCAAGGGTGTAGAAGTTGGAGGAGGAGGAGTGCAGGAACTTCTCGATGAAGCTGTAGCGAATGTTTGTCTTTCTGTTTCCTCCAGTTCGGGCGTTGTAGCGATTTGCTTTTCAGTTTTTACTTCTCGCTCTTTCTTTTCTAGGGTCGATTCATCAGGGGAATGGGATTGAAAAGAAGCGCAACCAGCAGTTCACTCTGTACATAGATATCTCAGTAGAACAGAAGGATAGCCTTGGGTCGAACTCTAAATTCAAGCAGTTCGCCAACGGCTGTCTCAACCAATTCCGATGTCAGCGACTACGCCAAGAAGAGCAATTCCAACGAGTCCGGTTTGCAGCCCCAGGGGAAGCACGACAGAACATGTTAAAATGTGGGCATGGCTCAAGTATGGCAAGGCTAATCATCCCGAGATGTCATAAGTTGAGTTCTCCCACTCACCTCTCTGTACTCCATCAGGCCCGATACTCCATAGATTCGGTCTAAATGCAAAATGGGCTCGCCCGGGCGGTGGACATCCTCTGCCAGCCCAGACCATTCCACAATGCGCCACCCACCGCGTAACACCCAGAAGCCCAACTTCGCGCCGAGGTTCACATGTCCATATGATCGAAATTTTAACACTCCATTCCGTGATGGAGACCAAGAAAGACCCGTTCCTTGCATCAGGTGCCCACGAATACTAGGGCTCTGAAAAGCCGGGCGTTCTCCGACTCTTCTCCGTCAACTAGCACTTTTCAGGGCCCCCACTGCGGACCCCGTAGAGGCAGTAGTGTAAGTCGTCTGAACTTCATTCCACGGATGCATGCCCTAGCCGAACGCCGCCGAGGTCTAGACTTTGGTGCACCGACTTGACCGTAGAACTGAGAAGTGGATCAATTGACGGTTTTTAAGGCATGGGTTCTCGCTCATTGACGTTTCAGGACTCAGCGCTCAAGGTTGAGATGATTTTGTATATTCCCAGCGGTATCATTCTATTTCGAAGACATGGAATAACTGCAATTTTTGTTTCCAGAAATAAAAATAAATAGGGGAAATAAGAGTAAAAATGAAAATTGAAACGAAGGGAAAAAAAGAGAAAGAAATGTGTCGCAAGGCAAAGGAATGTAAAAAATCTCAGCGCGGAACAGCTCCAAGCATCACGACACAGACAACACGAGAGATTCCCCAAAAATAGGTATCAAGTCATAAAACATTCAAGCAGGCAAATATACAGCCGATGTAGCCAAAACATACATACATACATACATAAATTAAAAGCCCCTTCTCTTCCCAAGAAATCCCTTTTTTTCATGCATACTCCGCCCTTAGTTATCCTTAGCCCAAGCCCTAAGCACGTTCTTCCTAATCTTCCCCGTGCTAGTCTTAGGCAGCTCCTTGAGGACCTCGACCTCCCTAGGCACCATGAAACCGCTGATACCGCTCTTGCCGGCCTTGGGGTCGGCCGTCTTGCCCTTGGCCCAGGTGATGACGGCCTCCTGGGTGGGGGGGTTCGCGGGGTCCTTGGCGGTGATGTAGGCCTTGGGGCGCTCGCCCCAGTGGGAGTCTTGGACGGCAACGACGGCGACTTCGAGGATGTCGGGGTGTTCGGCGAGGAGGGATTCGAGGGCTACGGAGGAAATGTTTTCACCGCCTGGAAGTAGAGTCGGGATTTGAGTTAGCTGCGTGAGAAGAAGGGGGGCGGGGCGCTATGAGTAAGAAAAAGGGAAATGTTTACCTGAAATGATGATATCCTTGGCTCGGTCGAGAATTTGGATAGAGCCATCAGGATGCCAAACAGCCAAATCTCCCGTCCTCAAGCCGCCACCGGCGTACATCTTCTTGGTGGCCTCGGGATCCTTGTAGTAACCCTTCGTGCAAATGTTTCCGAAGAAGACGATCTCGCCAATCTCCTTGCCGTCCTTGGCGACATCGACGAGGACCTCCTCGGCCTCCTCGGCATGTTCCGTGGGGTTGGCAGCAGCAGCGGCGGCAGCGGCTTCGATTTCTTCGTCAGACTTGGTCTTGACGACGCGGGCGGGGAGGGAGGTGATGAAGCCGTGACCTTGGCGGGCGAGCTTCGAGAACTTCTCCTTGGGGGAGAGGGATTCCCATTCGGGGAGGGGGTAGGAGACCGTTAGGGGACCGTAGGATTCGGTGAGACCATAGACATGGCGGGGGATAAGGTTAAGGTTCGTCTGGGGAAAGCAAAAAGTGGCGTTAGACAAAAATTTGGAGATATTTCCAAAAAGGTTAAATTTTAAGATCTTACCATTTGCTCGAAGAGGTGAGCGGTCGGGGGGCTGGCGGCAACAGTGACCTTTACGGGCCTGGGAAGTCGCTCGGCCGCATCGGAAGAGCAGAGGAGAGTGTTGACAGTGGGGGCGGCGTTAAAGTGGGTGACACCCTCCTCCTTGAGGAGCTTCCAGATGAGAGGGTAGTCAATCTTCCTGAGACAGATGTGTGTGCCTCGCACCGCACAGACAGACCAGGGGAATGTCCAGCCGATGGCGTGGAAGCTGAAAAGGAGAGGATGTTAGTCTTCTGTTGTCCCGTAATGAGGACCTGGAACACCGGATACGTACAGAGGAAGAGTCCAGAGGTACCTGCACCTGCCGGGGTCAACGTTCAGGTTGGACTCGACCACGTTGGCAAGGGCGGCGAGATAGGCACCTCGGTGGGTGTACATGACACCCTTGGGGCGGGAGGTGGTTCCCGAGGTGAAGGGGAGTGCGACCAAATCATCTTCGGCAGCGCACTGAGCCTGGAGGCCCTCCCATCCCTTCTGACCAAGGGCGTGGTCGTACTGAAGACCCTCCCAGACAGCCTGGTCGAAGGGACCGTGTAATTGGCCAGCCGAAGAATCGGTATCCTGTGCAATTGATTACTTGTAAGCTCCTCCTCCCATCACGTAGAAAGACGGGGTGATACAGGTTTCGAGTTCTCGCAGGAGCAGAAATCCGAGGTAGAAAAAAGCAAGAAGAGCCCAAGGCTTACCAGATCAACTAGAACGTTCACGTTGGGGTGAGTCTTCCGGAAAGCAGACAAGAGCGGCTCGAACTCCTTGTCGGCAATGATGAAGTCGACCTCGGCGAAATCGAAAATGTACTCGATATCCTCGGGTACGAGCCTGTAGTTAGCCGGCACGATGATGCCTCCGGCGGCGGGAATGGCGTAGATGGACTCTAGGAAGGCCGGGGTGTTGGGGGCGAGAATGCCCACGCGGCGGTAACCATGCTTGATGAGGTAGTAAGCCAAGCCGCGAGCACGGTCGGCGAATTCGCAGTAGGAACGGCGGAGGACGCGGCCGTTCGTGGTGAGGTGGAAGATGGCCTCGGCGTTGGGCTCGATAGCGGCGGCGCGGGGAAGGAAGAAGGTCGGAGAGAGCTGGTGAATGTGAGGGGCCGAGGGGGTGACGTGGGTGTTCTCCGGGTGGTGGCCCGGGATGAGATGGCTCAGGATGCTCTTGAGACGGGAGGGAGGGGTCGACATTGTTGCGGCGGCGTGTGGTGTTGGTTAATTGATTGGGTTGTTGAAGACCAACTTGGGAGGAGAGAGAGAGGAGGGGGTTGTTGGTGAGGGGTGAGATTGATCAATCAATGTTCCGTCGCCACACGCGGCAAGCTCTCGAAAAAACGCAAGGTCACAAACACAGCAGTACAGAAGAGATGGAAAGAGAGAGGAAGATTCCGAGTAGGGCTCACGATGGCACACAATGACATTTATAGTTTTTCTTTTTTCCTCCTTCTCTTTCTTTTTTTAATTCTCTCAAGTACACTTGGAGGAATCCGGCCGAGTGGAGATTGTTTTCTTGGAGATATCTCGGGAATTGGAGGGCTGGTTCGTCCCATGAGGGGCCGGGGCAAAACTGGGGAGATCTGGGGAGCTCACACCTTAGAGGCTGGTTGGGGTTGGAATACCGAGGATAATCGAGTTGGGGAAAGGGGGAAGGAGCGCGAGCGCGGAGGGAAGGTGGGTATCCCAAGGTACTGCACTAGTTGATCCCTCTGCTTCTCCAAAAATCGAAGCGAGGTTCCCCAGTTGCCCCCTCCTCGTCCTCGGCGTTGGTTTCATCAACCATTGATTCCTTAACCGAAAATCTCCTAGTTCCAGACCCCAATTTTTTTCCCTTCCTTTTTCTCCCTTTTTCTTTTTGTTCCCTTCTCTGTCGTTGACTTGGTGGAGTTACACTACGAAATTCCGCAACAATCCGGAGTTGTGGTTCCCCTGGGCGTTGTCGTTGTCTCAAAGTTTATCAGATTTTTGCTCAAAAAATTGGAGAAGCTGCTGTGGCATCAGTTGTCTGGAACGTGGAGAAAATAACCCGGTTCTCCGGGTAATCCAGGCCCTCCTCACAGAACTGACCCTGGGTCCAGGCTTCTCCGGCATGGGGTACCGGCAGTGACTTTACCCCAGGTCCAGCATTAAGCATCGATTGATTTGATCTGGGGTACAAGTACGAGGTACTCTGCGAGTCCGTGAGTTCCTCGGTGAGCACACGCGTAATACTGATTGGGCAAGAGAGACTTGTACTTCGTACGATTATTGTCGCAATGGGAGGGCCAGGGTTCTGTTGACGTCAGGATATTGGGGAAGCAGCTTCCCCATTTTTACAGCATTAGCTGACATTGGACCATCCAGAGCCTGGAGAAGAGTCAATGTCGTGTTGACTTTTTGTGAGGCTTTTTGTGGGGAATGCCCCCTTTCCTTTTCTTTTTTTCTTTTCTTTCTTTTTTGCCTTTTTTTTCAGTGGAAGCGGACCAGTGGTCAAATGCTCCCCTTTCGGGAAACGGAATCGCCGATACAGTACCGTATCGTTCCATCAATTTTTGGCCCTTTTCTCCCCATTTCGTCACGTCCCTCTCTGTCCTAGATTCCACATATCCTGAGAGTATATATCATATACGGGTGACATTACATGTAGCGATATGGATAAAATTGACGATAATCAGTATCGCTTTCGACAACAAGTTACTTCCAGCGGAGAGTATTGTAGTTTATGAATTTGTAGTTTATGTCCGAAGCAATGTCATGGCTTGCCGATTAACTGCTCACCGCCTGCCCCTTTTGGTAGGTTGCCACATGGGCCACAATGGATGAGTCGAACTCAACCCGCCCCCACCTCGCAAAGCTCAGCCAATTGTTTGCTCGTCTATTACGCTTAATTTTTTTTCAACCTCACTCCGACGCCGGCCTGTCGCAACGAAGTTATCTGCGACATAGAAATCTTCACTCGGTTGGACGTGGACTCGGATTTCCCCTTTTTGAAGTCGTCTATTTGGCATGGTCTAGGCCAATACCTGGCTACAAGTATTCATCATGGCACGACTCGTGCGTTGCCCTCTCCCATCGTGACTGCATCACTGGCCGTCCGGCGAAGCAAACTACCTTGATGCATCATCGACCCCCTCTTTCGTCCACGTACCCACCAAAACCTCGACGCAATCTCGCCGACCTGAAAATGGCCTTTGTAGAGAGCAATTGCTCTGAAGTCTCTTGACCTTGCGTCTCTGCGGTCTCGAACATCCGTCGCCCGCTTGCGAACCCCGTCGATAGCTGCGTCCCAGCTGCGTTTATATACCACCGCCATTCCCCGAAGACAGCAAGCTTTCCACTCACAACTCGAGAGCGCTCCCAATGCCGGCAACCTCCAATCTTCCCAGAAGGCCGCGGCGCCCACCACCCCGCAGACCGCTACCGAAAAGATATTCCAGCGATAGGTGGACTGTTCCCCGTTGACGAGAAGCTTATTGCCTGGTATCGCGCCAAAGCCACCACTGCAGCACTAACCGACAGCCCCGCCAAGGAGCGCATGAACCATGAGCAAGTAAACAGGATTGCGGAGAACCGGCTCGTTGCCGACCCAGGTGCTACGTATGCCAAAGAGTCCTATCTGAACCTACCCACGCCCCCGCCATGGGTTGCGGGACCCAATTCGGTCAAGGTCGCCAACCCTCTCAAGAACCTTGAGCCTCAGAATATTAAGATCGACAAGGCTTATTTGGTGTCCTGCCCTAATTCGAGGGCGAGCGATATCGCTGCTGCGGCACGAGTTTTCCGCGAGGCTGCCACGGACGGCCAGCCAGCCAAGGTTGCTAGTGGTGTTCGCTTCTACCTTGGCGCGGCCTCCCTTTCCGAGCAGAAGATCGCCGAGGAGGCTGGCGATTGGAAGGTCCTACTCGACGCCGGCGCCATAGAGCTCCCGGCTGCGTGTGGGCCGTGTATTGGCCCAGGTACAGGCCTGCTTGAGAAGGGCGAAACGGGTATCTCGGCAAGCAACCGAAACTATAAGGGCCGCATGGGGGATCCGTTGGCGAAGGCGTATCTTGCCAGTCCTGAAGTTGTTGCTGCCAGTGCTCTTGCGGGCAAAATTGCCGGCCCTGGTTGGTATCAGAAGCCAGAGGGCGTTGAAAAGGTGATTATCGGAGAGGGAAGCGGTGATTTCGCTGCCGACAAGGCTCTCTCTCTTGAGGGTGCTTTAGATAGATCCTTAACGAGATGAATGGCATGATTGCTGCCGCTGAGAATAGTCAGGAGACGCCTACCACAGCTACCGCTGCCGAAGACGAAGCCTTGACTAATGTTCTACCGGGCTTCCCTGAGAAAATCGAGGGCGAAATTATTTTCTTGTAAGTCCTTCTCAACCCGTTGCTTCCTTTACCTATATACTAACCCAGGGCAGAGATTCGGATAATATTAATACCGATGGCATATATCCTGGAAAATACACTTATCAGGATAACCTCCCCAAGGGAAAGATGGCCGAAGTGTGCATGGAGAACTATGACCCCGAGTTTACTAAACTCACCAAGCCAGGTGATGTGTTCGTGACTGGTTTCAACTTTGGTGTGGTAAGTGATTTTGTTTATTTTTATACACATCATTATCCCGATCAAGACCCAAGAGAATGATGGCTAACACCCCTTCCCTCCTTCGTAGGAAGTTCCCGTGAGCAAGCCGCCACGGCCATTCTAGCTAGAGACATTCCTCTCGTCATCGCAAGAAGTCTCGGAAACATCTTTAGCCGCAACAGCATCAACAACGCACTGGTCTCTCTGGAAATCCCCCGCGTGGTCGAGCGACTACGCGAGGCGTTCAAGGACGACGCCGAGAAGCCCCTGACGCGCCGCACGGGCTGGAAACTTCTGTGGGATGTCCGCCGCTCCAAGGCCGTGATTACGGAGAAGGATGGCACGGTGTGGGAGCAAAAGGTTAGCGAGCTGCCGCCCAGTGTGCAGGAGATTATTGCTGCTGGAGGTCTGGAGAATTGGGTCAAGTCTAAGATTTAGGGTTGAGGAAGAAGATTTGTTTGTAATTGCTATGTGTCTCTTAGAAGATTTCTTGTTTTGTCTAAGAAAAGTCATGTTTTGGACGTTTCCACTGGAAGACCGCTGGTCCTAAAATGGGCAATCTCCGCTACCACTGCTTCGTTCTGACTGCAACGCAACAGACCGAGTGGTCAAAGAAAAAGCGACAGGCCCCACATGGCGGCAGCTGTCTATTACGCAGTCCGTTTCTGAACCGTATATGATTGGGATTAAGTTGGGAGGAAGATCCGACAAGTAACGGTGCCCCAGACAGAGGCGACCAACATCAGCTCCGTTTTATGTGAATTTCCCGCATCCCAACCTTGACACACAAAATTAAGCTTCCGGTCAACTCTTTCTGGCCTCAGATGCATCCTATTTTCTGGAAGTTCCATACCTTTCTGGACCCAGAAGCTTCTATATTCGGCATCCTTTTCACCGGAGAGCCAGCCTCATAGTGAAAACACGCGATTCCGTCCATTCTCGCCTCCCGGGTTGGCAGATTCCTCCACGAGTTGGCCGGTGAGACTAGTGGATCCCTGGCGTTGTACGAAGTACCTTAGTACTAGTTATGTCCCTTTTTTTTCATTTTTCTTTTCTTTCTTTTTCCTTTTCCTTTTTTTCTTTTCATTTCCCCGCCTTTTTTTCTTGGGGTTTTGGGGTTACTTAGTCCTAATCAGGAATAGTTGAAATAAGTCTGGCTGTTGAGGCCCGATGGGGCAGTTATTGAGCACCGAGGTTTTTCAACTGGAACATAACCGGTCATAGGCGGCAAGCCGGCCGTGGTGGCTAGTTTAGCGGGAGCGGCTGCCAGGGCTGCCGCCCACTTGAGGTCGACGAAGTATCTCAGGACTCCCCACGATGATCAATGACTTCTCCAAATAATTAGCTTCGAACCAGTGTGGGGGATGGCCGCTTGGGCTCTTGTTGAGGGGATGCACCTTCCCTTTTGCATTTGCGCGTAATGTACCGAGGTAAGCGCGAATCTCTGATGGGTCTAGCCTCTTTCTTTCACTGAGATGCTGAGCTCTCGCAATTACTTTCAATTCGATCACCACTCAGCTAGAACAAGAACGATTAAGCTTGGGCGGGAAAGCATCATCAATGGTGCAATTGCACGGCCTGTCAGCTCTGCTTTGGATCTCCCCCCAGTTCCAAGCAATTCGACCAATTTCTACGCCAGAGCCAGAGTCTCTCTCGACGAGCTGTCATCTTCTCTCTTAAGGTCGGGGAACCTTGCATGCTCACTGCTTTACGGGGGCGCAACAAGAGCGAGCAATTGTGGACAGGTTTCGGGATGGCGACAATTTCCTGATTTGATGTTAATTCCTTGGCTGATGAACTAGCAGCAGGCAACCGTCACGGACCCGCCGATCGAGCCCTGAAATGCGATGGGGTCAACCAGGTTGCCAGCTCACTTCGGCAAAGATGGGCTGCATTACCGGGGCTATGTGTACTGAGGTACCCCAGTATATTCTTGGCCGCCAGTTCTCAACACCGGACAGCTGCCAGCCACTGAGCCAGCAATCATAAAAGCACCGAAATACCCACTTGCCCTCTGGGTTCTGAACTCCCATCAAATGGCAGCTTTCGTCTTCGGACATAGCGCTCCAATCACAATAGAAAATGTCTTGTGTCCGCCGTATGCTATTCAATCAATGACGCTCCGAGCGGCGAGGCGTAGTACTGCCCCGAGCAGACTCACCGATCTTTATTTCATTTCAGCCTGGCTTACGGGCCCCCCCAGGCTTCAACACGTTTGCTCACCCATCCATCCCTCTGCTGACGGCGGTCGTTCTCCTAACGGGACATCCGAGCCGGCGCCACTCTTGAAAGGGAGAAAAAAGCGAGGCAAACGGCTCGGATCTTGGTCCAATCATGACTCCCTGACTTCACCCCAGGTGCGGTCGGGTCCGCAGCAGCCAGCCCTGCAGCGCCACACCGGTACCAGTTGGGAGGTTGACGACCCTAATGGTCTGTATCGCTGACATGTATGTCACTTGCTGACGGCGGCTTTAATATTGAGGATGTGTGTGACGAAAGCTTGCTGGATTTTCGTTCACGACCAAAAGATAAGTCCACATGCGGAAATCCTTTCCATTCAGGGGATGTCAGACCTGGCATCTCTTGCAGGCTAAGCCGACGTTATGGGTTAGTGTCCTGTAGGAAGCAAGTCGCATTCAGCCCATCGTGCTGTTTGAGGGGTTCTTACTGGTTCTGGGACCCCCGCCTGGCTATCGACATTTCGTACTCGTCAGTTTTGTTTGTGGGCTTGCGTTACTTCTTTCTCTCCAGAAACATTGAGTTGAGGCTTTGAACCCAAGCCAACATTGAAGGTGTAATAAGCCCGAATCCCACTTCGATCATCCCAAGTTAAAATTCAATATTATAAGAACAGCAAGGCTCTCATTTCTATTCCATGTTCCCTTTGCCATTTAGTTTCTTTTCTTGAGCGTGAGTATGCTTCGTGTTTCTTCAATTAATCTACCTAGATCCTCTTTCTTTGTTTCAATCTGATTTCGAATAATATCAAGTGCCCGCATTTCCAACATGGCCGAATCTCAAAATAGCACGCCCCAGGTCGGGTCGTCCTCCAGCTCTTCCTCCGCGAAGAAGCACCCATACAAGAAACGTCTCATCATGTGCTGCGACGGCACTTGGATGAATTCCGACAAGGGCTCCGAGGATCGTTTCGGCCACACGACTCTCCAAGTGCCTTCCAACGTCACGCGCATCTCGCGGTCGTTTAAGCGGCTTTGCGACGATGGTTGCATGCAGATTATCAACTACGAGTCTGGCGTCGGGACGGGAAGCAACACACTTGACAGCATTACGGGAGGCGCTTTCGGGACGGGCTTGTCCGAGGTGAGTAAACTAACCCTCCGACGCAGTTGAGAGAACAGAATTGCTGATAAGAGGGTGGGGGTTATTAGAGGGTGCGAGAGGCGTACCAGTTCATCTGTGCCAACTACTGCGACGGCGACGAGATCATCCTCATTGGCTTCTCTCGTGGGGCGTATACCGTCCGATCCGTAGCGGGCATGATTGGCGACATTGGTCTACTCACGAGGGATGGCACGGAGTTGTTCTATCCTATTTTTAAGGATATGGAGAACTGGATGGACAAGGACTACGACGATCCTTTCCCTACCCTGCCTTTTTCTGAGAAGCCCAAAGGTGCAAATGCTTCTAAGGAGTACAAGGCGAGACTTGAGCGGGTATGAGCAACAGCTTTTTTTTTTTTTTTTTTTTTTTTTTTTTTTTTCAAGTCTTTGAAAAACATTCGGGCATCACTAAGAAACTGTTGTGTAGTTGGGCCTTACGCGAGTCCGACAAGATGGCGGAACCGGCGACCTGATCAAGGTCAAGGCCGTTGGTGTATGGGATACCGTCGGTAGTCTTGGCATTCCCGAGGTCTCCTGGCTTAGCAAGATGGGCGTGACGATAAACAACTCAGAATAAGTCTTCGCCTTTCCCTCCTTTGGCTTCGCCTTCTACCCTCCCTTCCTTTCAAGAAGCTAACTTCTGGCCACGTTCCAATTCTACGACACGAACCTATCGGCCCAGATCGAGCACGCTTTCCAGGCCCTTGCTCTCGACGAGACTCGCCCGCCTTTCAGCCCTGCCGTTTGGGAACGTCTCCCTAACAACAAACTCACCACTGACCTCCGTCAGGTGTGGTTTCCCGGGAACCACGGAAATGTGGGCGGCGGTTGGCCTGATCAAGGCATTGCTAACATCAGTCTCGCATGTACGTACCGTCTCCTTCCGCCCTATTACCCAGCCATAATCTAACCTTTCTCCCAGGGATGATGGACCAACTCGCCTCCGTTGGCGTCGAATTCGACGAAAAGTCCCTCGAGAAAATCTTCACTCGCCAAGTCCAGCACTACGACTCCCTCGCCAAACCCTCCCCCTCCTCCACGCCATCCTCCTCCTTTTCCAGAAAGAAAGAGCAAATCCTCTGGGCCGTTGAGCAAATCCACAGCCCGAACCACCCCCGTCGTCCCTGGGGCCTAGGCGAGATCAAGCGCGCCTCGAACCCCCTGTACGCTCTCGCGGGCAAAAAGGCCCGCACGCCTGGTCTGTACCACGAGGTGGATGCCAAGACGAACCAGCCCAAGAAGGAGTTCCTGCTCGACACGAACGAGAGGATTCATCCGTCCGTGAGGGTGAGACTAGCGTGTAAGGGGTTGGGGTTGGATGACCTGGGAGTTTGGGAGGCGGAGTCGTTGAAGAAGTGGAAGCTTGTGAGGGTTAATGCGGGTGCTGCTAACAACGGAGGCACCAACGGCATTGACGCCAATGGGAATGCGGTGTCCGAAACGACGGAGTGGTGGGGCCCGACCAAGGTGGAACAGGAGGATATTAAAGATGCCGGGCTTTGGGCTTGGGATTATGTTGGGCCGTCGGGGGATGCGCCGCCTGTGAGGAGGCTGATGGAGGAGAGGTTGGGGCCGTATGAGAGGTACTTCTTGAAGCTTTCCGGTGGGACGCCGAATTCGTATCAGTGGGCGGGGGAGTCGTTTAGTGAGAAGAAGTAAGAGGCTCGCTGGCTGCAAAAGTGGGTTCGGGTTTCCAAGGGAAGACTGTAATAGTTATTTTTCTGGGAATTTGTCTGAGATGATGGGAGTTTTGGGTAAACAAGAGAAGGGCCATGGAAATTGCTTTGTTTGATAAAAATAAGATAATTGAAGAAAGAATACCTATTTCACCACTTCTCCCTGATCCCGAATCAAGCAAACTTTTGCCCCTATTATATCTTCGTCCTTCTCCCTCCGTTCTTGCATTCTCCTACTCGAATGCCCTTACAGCATCAACACTGCCATTCCGGTCAAAGAAACAACAATAACAACAACGACACTAGTTCGCACCATCCTAGCCCCGTTCTCATCCCCACCCGGCGTGCCAGTACTCGTTCCACCAGTCTCCGTAGCGTTACCTCCCGCCCCATGCCCGTTGTGAGGCAAAGAAGAAGAAGAAGAAAAAGCACCGCTTCCAAGAGGAGTAACCGATGACGAGCTCTCTTCAGAAGATGGCCAAGGGTCGTCCGGATATCCCGGGAAAGCAGTAACACTAACCCTTGTAAGAAGCGTACTGGACGTCGTCGAATGGGTCTTTATGATTTCCACGGTGGATGTTGGCAGGGCGGAGAGGGTGTCCGGGGTTTGCCCTGGGGGCGTTCCGCCGTGGCTTATAAGCGTGGGAGGGAACGGGGAGGCTTGGAAAGTGGTTGTCGTTTGGGTGAGGGTGAGGGTATCTTTGGGTTCCGCTGGGGGGAAGCTGACTACGATGACGGTGGTCAAGGTTATGGGATTGAGAGGGTTCGAGCTGAAATATGACGTTAGCCTCAGTGAAGATGATAGAAAAGGGGGGGAGGGACTCATGGCTTACAATGACGCTGGTATTAGTGAGGTTGTAGTACTATAGGTGCTCAGCGAGGCGGTACCAGGTTGTGCTTGTGCCGAGTTGATCGTTGTGCCAGGAGTGGTCGATAGGAAGACATCTTTGGAACTCTCTGTTGCGATCGACGCAGTCGCAGCAGATCCGCTGATGTGTGAACGTTAGAAACGAGGGTCCATAAGTCGGGATATGGTGAGAGATCAACTCACCTCGACAGAGAATTAAGCCCTTGCGATCCATCACAAGGATCTGCCACACTACCAGACAGGTTAATGTTGAAGTCGTAGACAATGCAGAAAGCTGTATACCTACATGCTGAGAGTTGGAACCGCAGACTCCTTATCAGACACTCGGAAGTTTACAACAGAACCGCTAGATGCAGTATCCGTGGAGAAGGCAGCCTCTCCCGTAGAGGTAGTTGAAGCATCCAAGATGCTGGAGTTAGTAAAGCTGAAGCTCGCCAAACTTTCTGATGCAGAAGTGCTCGTATTGAACGCGCTGGAGACCGATACGTTTTGACCAGATGGGAAAACGGAAATGATATTGACTGTAGTTGTGACTGGGCCCATGGTTGGAGCCAGGGGGAGACTCGTAACGATAATGATAGTTTCGGTAGGATTCAGACTTGCGGTTGCATTAAGCGCAGAAGCCGAAGTAGTTGTGATGCTAGAAAAAGTATCGATAGATGCACTTTGTGCTTCAGACGTCGCATTCAAGGCAGCCGTGGACAATGCCTCTGTCGCCGCAGTACTAGAATTAGGCCAAAGGAGAGTCACCGTTTCTAACACCGTTGTCGAAACAAGGGAAATTGATTGGGCTGTGACCGACGCCGCTGGAGGAACACCATCGAAGAAAGAAGGACGGGAAGCAGTGGCCGACGCTGTGACAGTGGCCGGATTTCCCAGCTGCTCGAACTGACGACGATCTGGATTCCCAGGACCCGCATGGCGTTCAAACATACCCTCGCTACCACCGAGATCATACTTCCGCTCCGGATCGTAGTCCGGGGTGATAAGATAAGGAAACATCCTCTGGAACGAATTGCCCTTACTATCCTGTCCCCGAACGACAACGAAAAACTCTCTATCAGGAAGATGTGCGATGGCACCAAAAGTGTGAAGATCCGCGTGGCCCGGGTATTTGGTGGCGTTGAGGCCCGGGAGCATCTCGACCTCCGTCTCCTCACCCGTCTCAAGATCAACGAGATACCACCGGGGCGACTGGAAGTCTCCGTACAGCTCCCCGATGAGTACGACGTTGGTTTCGGCCAAAGGAGATCCCTCGATGGGGAAGAAGCCCTGGTGGCCGGGCCGTCCGGCATTTTCGGCAAAGTAGAAGTCGGCAAGTTGGATTGAGCTGCGGGCTTGGACGTTTATGTGGAAGACGCTCGTGGTTGGGATTCTGGTTGACCAGAGACCTGGTGGGGGATTGTTGATGGTGAAGATTAGCCGGTAGGTCTCGCCGTCTTGCTTGAGAATAACGGGATCAGGGAGGGTCGGTGAGGAAGGGTCACCAGAGAGGGAGAAGGGTGAGCAGTCGTCGCAGTCGACAGAGAGCACAATCTGGTCGGTAAACTCGTCTATGCCAACCTCGAGGTTGAAAATCTCGTCCGATTCCATGCCGGCCTTTTCAAAGATTTTTGTCAACTGGTGTACTGGGTCCCAAGAGGCATCCTGGGCACGGAGAGATTTATGGGAGCTCAGATCCGTGGTTGACAACCCATTCGAAAGATCCGCAACAGATTTATAGAAAGGATCAATAGTACTGGTAGACGAGCAAGCGCTTTTCAGCTGGGCGACGTTGACAGAAACCGGGTGTCTTGAGAGGAAGTTGACAATCCACCCAAAAGCAGCGTCGTTCTCGCGAAGAGGCTGGGAAACGATAAGAGTAACCTCGCCGCCATACCGCAGCTCTTGAATCCGCGCCAGTAATATTTCTGGATCGACGTCGGAGCAGGCCACGCTTGGAGTCGCCGGTAAAAGGCCGTCGATGAAATCCAGATCTGATGGAGTCCGGATGGGTATCCAGCGCGGGAGAGCGGACTCGGGTCCGAAACCAGTGGACAGCAGTCTGACGCCTGTGAAACGTATATCCGACTTTGTGCTATTGATTATGAGAGATTCTAGCGAAGACCGTAAGAGTTGGCGAGCTTGTGACCATTCCTCAGAGCGGCGGAGTGCGGGATCGAGGACTATCAGCGAGTCAAGGCCGATTCCGAAGAGTCTCTGGACTTGTTTAGCAGAGACTGAATTTGGGAGAGCTTGTAAGAGCCGGATGGATGCTGCTACGGCGTTGACAGCTGCCCAAATATGTCGTTTGGTATCTGTTTGCGTGTCGTCATCGGTCACCATGTTCATCTTGAGAGCTCCTTCAGGATCCATCCCCAGAGCTCTTAGAAACTCTTCGAGAACACCTTTGGAATCCATTCCCATAGCTCCTAGAAGCTCTTCGGTAGTACCTTTGGGATCTATCTCTAAAGCGTTTAGAAGCTCTTCGAGACAATGTATTAGCCCAATTCCGTTACCATTGACAATTTTAGGGAATCATACGGTCTATGTCGTGAACGGGGATATACTCTGCGTCCTTCATCTTGTCGCCCCACATCAGGATGTCCTCAGACGTGTAGCCACCGAAGGAGGCTCGACTCCTTTCCCGCATTTCAAGGACCGACGAACAGTTTTCAGCTCTATATTCTCTCCAGTCAGTAAAATAAAGCATCCAGGAAGGGAAGGTACTCACCCATATCCAATCACATCCTGAACAACATGCAGCACCTCACCCAACGCCTCCCTCGCCCTAAATACATCATCCGAAACCAAAGCCTCAACAACCTCCTCCTTCAACCCCTTCAAAACCTCCCTGCCCTCGGCACCATTCCCACCATCGTAATGCCACCCGTCCTCGTCGTGGTCCCTATCCGCAAAGGCGCAGGCCCTAGAAATCTGCGTGCGAGCCTCGAGCATATCCTTCGACAGGCTGGCACCGTAGGCTTCGCGAGATGCCTGCATGGCTTGGGGGAAGAGCAGCTGGGCTGCGAAGTTGAAGGCATTTTCGGTGATTTGCTCGTGGGATATGCCCGGGTGGGAGGCGAGGTTCGCGCGGAATTTGGTGGGGTAGAAGGCCGAGACTGGGTAGGTTAGGGTGAGGAGGAAGAGGAAACAGGAGGAAAGCATTGTAGGTACAGGTGAAAGAGAATCAAAAGAATGGATAATATATCACCAAAAGAGATACAGGTTAATGAACAGAAATTTCGTGGTATTTGTCTTCGAGTAAGGCTATTGTAGAGAAAAGGGACAAATGGGGTTGTTATATAACTCATCTCGTCTGTTTTCTCTCCTCTTCTTCCTCCTCCTTTGTGAGCACGGCTGGATTGGAGACGCGCCATATGACGGGTGTAACTCCTCAGGAATCCTTTCCTGCCTCCCCCACCCCAATCTCGCCGTCGCCTCGTCGATATTCACTAGCACTGGTCGAGATGACAATATGCCAGTCGCCGACCGAAGAAACCAGGACGTAACAGATTCGGGACTCCGACCTTCTCGCTAGATATTCGTCCTGCCGAACCTCCACCTAGACCCAGACAACGGATCATACGAGCCCCTCTTCCTGAGTCGAGCAGTAGTCAATACCTGGACAGCACTTTCGGGCCTAGTTTGGTTGTGCTTCAGCAGATCCCGCCCTATCCTCTCACACGAACTCTAGAAGTCCACAATTTGTTTGATCTGACAGCTCTGCCCGTCGGCAAGGTGCAGGCTGCGTTCCTTGAGGCATCATCGGATGGGTGTGACAGTACACGACGTTCCTGCAGGGCGAACTTTTCGCTTTGGTAGTACGGTCTGAAGACGGTAGGCCCGGGCTAGTACACGTTCAACCATCGGGGAAGAGGCATACGTTACTTCCGATTATATGCTGCAGTGCACTCCTTGAAACAGACTGAGTGTGTTACTCGAGACAAGATGTGGAGTAGCTCAGTTTGTTAGTGTCTGCTCCCGGAGCGGGATGTGGTACTGCAGCTCAAGTCGTCCAACATCGCCAGTCCGACAAAGATCAGTGCCCAAACTAAGTCGAGTTGGGCGCAAAGTGATTATGGCGAGTACCCGTTGCTGCCTTTGACTTCTGCAACACAGCTGTTCAACAATGCCCCCTTCATTATCCGTGCCAAGACGCGTCCCCGCGCCGATCAGGTTCCCTTGCCGGCGAATGAAGAAAATAATGCGATTAGAATGACATTGATTAAGGCACACATCGCTCTCCAACACAAGTTCCACCGCCTATACCTGTGCAACAAAAACTGACAAACCACGATCCGAGAAGAAAAGACGAGAAAAAAAAACAATTGATTCCCTTCCTATCACATGCCTAACCGGTATTCCCACCCCTTTAAAACGCCTACCCTATTACCAGATACAATGAATAGAGTCGCCGATTCGATCCTACCCGATCCTTCAAAAGAAGGGAAGGGGTTGGGACGGTCGAGACCCATGAGAGCAGAATCCGTAACTCCAGATCCGCGGAGAAAAGCTGACCAAAGACAAACGTGGAATACAATCGTCGTAGAAGAAGAAAATGACGAGAAGAAGAACGGAAGAAGAGGGTATTGGCTATAGCATCAGAAGAAAAGAAGGGGCTGGAAAAAAAAAAGGCAACCCGAAACCAATTGGTCAAACCGAGGTTGTCCTGTATAGGACAGAAGGGTGGGTAGGATACCCGAGTCCTTGCTCGCTTAAGGCGCGGAGACTACCACCGAAGGTAAAATCATTCCTACTGAAACTATCCGTCGTTTGCGTTCGGGGTAGTCTCGGCGATGGCAACAGGGACGTGGGTTTGATCGACGTGCTCGACATGATCCATCTGATCGGGCTGGTCAACTTTGGTCGTGGGATCCTCGATGCCGTGGTCCTCGAAGTATCGCTTGTAAATGTCAAGTCGCTCATAAAGGTTGGCACACTCAGCCTTGAGCTTCTCGTTGGAGACACTGAGCTCTCCGATAGCTTGCTCAGTGAGGAGCTTTTCGAGGGTCCACTTCTCAATGTTGGAAGTCTCGTTGGCCTTGAGAGTTTGGATGAACTGCACAGCCTTCTGAAGGATCGCACCCTTGTTCTTCTCACAGCCAGGAACGATCTTCGCCAGCTCATTAATACCCTCATTGATGGTTTCGCGGCGGCGTCGTTCAACTTAAAGAATTGATTGGTTAGTCAATTCACATGCTCTTGCTGGTGAAAGGGGTATTTCTCATCTGCGAACCTTCTTTATGGTTGTCCTTTCGAAGTTTGTGCCATTCTTCAGTGCCTACAGCAGGCTTGCGGTACTGATAGTCGGCCCTCTGGGCCTGCTGCGGCTGGCCCGGCTGGCCAGGAGGGGGGATCTGGGGATGGTGGACATGCTGGACGGGTTGAGCCGGCTGGGGCGGCTGAGGGCTCTGGTGGGGAAGAACCTGAGCTTGCTGCTGCTGAGGTTGGGTTCCGTTGGGGGCAAGGATGGGAGCCGTGGGAGGAAGAGAAACGGCGGTGGGGGCACCCGCATCATGCTGGCCAACGTGGCCAACATCGGCAAAGACACCAGCATCCTGAGGGTTAGTTCCATCGGCAGCAGCCTGGACGAACTGCTGCTCGGTAGTCGAGGGGACGTGCATGGTGGGATACATGGAGCCGAGAGCAGCGGCAGCGGTACTCGAGGCACTCGAGGCATCGGTTACGACGGGTTGATGAGCAGCAGCCTCTGAATGGTTGGCAGCCTCGTTGGCCTGCTGGAGAGCGCTCAAATCTACACCGACGCCGACACCGACAGCGGACGCTTCATTAGCAGCAGCCTCCAGGAATCCGAGGCTGGTAGAGTCCGCAGAAGGGACCATGTTGGCGGCAGGGGCTGCACCACGCTTAACTCGGCGGTCCTCGGGGCTTTGGTCGCCGCTGCGCTTGCGTTTCTGGCCCGGGGAAGTGAGCTCCGACTTCAAATCAGGAGTCTCCGTGATAATGTCTGTCATGGCTTTGTGTGAATCTTATCGTTGCCGTGATCAGTACTTATGCCCAACGAGAGGCGTAGGCCCTAAGGTGGAAGCCCTTACGTGTCACGATACGCTTAAATAGTAAAGCGAACTAAACTAAACCGTTAGTACACATGATTCCAAGAGTCAAATCAAATCGATCCTTAAGTCTATGTGGTTGGCTCAGAAATTTAAAGCCAAAGATGGGGTGCAAAATCCTCTGAGCAATCAATCCCAATTCTGACTGCATCCTGCGTTTCGCTGGCCACAATGAGCCATACATGACTGAGGTGAATACCGCAGAGCGTATCGCGTCACTTCGCTTGCCTTCATCGCTGCAATCGCTCCCAGCCCGACGTCATAGTTCCTGCTAAAGATGAACGGCGACGCGTAGACTCAGCATATCGCAAGGATGCAGTCCAGAGAATTGATCCATCCCAAACACCTTTTAGCCTCATTTTCCCGCTCTCGTCAATGTCTGGCACGACATCGCGATGAAACAATGTGGCGGGCGATGGATGATGATTGACGATGAGCCAGCTCGCCAGACTCGACCATTGAAAATGCCCCGTCATTTGGACAGGATGCCCCAGGAAAAGTGGAGGCAAGGGAGAGAAGACCCAATGCGTAGGGCGAGAAATGAGATTCAAACACATACCTAGACGATCATGTGCCTTGCCGCCTTTGCTGCTTTGGAACGACGTGAAGGAACAGCGGTCGGGTCCGGATCACGGGTTTTGGCTCCTTTCACGTGGATGCGTGACAGATCTCGTGATATACCTTGGCTATCGAGGTATCGCCAAACACGACGTCGCGACGGTGGGTGGAATGAAGTCGGGGAATCAAATAAAGTGAGAACGAAGTGAATAGGATTTATGTTTAGAAGAAGTTTTCCTGATCGCGAAAATCAGAAAAAAAAATTAGAATGAGGTAAGTCCAATATCCGTTCTCTCCTGCAAGAGTCGCTGGTAAGACGCCTACTGAGAGGAGTGATGGTAACGGTTCTTGATAGGTGGTGGTCACGAGGAAGAGGGAGAGGGTGAACACGTGCAAGGTGGGTGAGGCTGGGGGATAAATAGGAATCCTGGGTAGGTCGCGATTCATATGGCCTGAGGCAGGAATTTTCAGGTGGCCAATCAGATGTTTCAACGCCTGCACTGGGGCTGACAACCAGTCTGAGGAGTTTACAATTGCGAGGGTACCCAGAGAGGTACTTCAGCTGCTCACAGTCCAAGACCAAGGAGTGAATGGAATGATTCACTTCATCCAGAGGAAAGAGCGAAATAAACACTGGTTTTTGTGTTTTGTTTTTTGAGAACTTGGTGGAGCATGGCATTTATTATTCCATGCGCCAAAAGATGCGTAATTCTGTCAATAAATGTCCCGTGACTTTTGTATACTCTCTGTTCTAGGCCAAACATCGAACCAGTTCAGATGCAAGCAACTGCACTCTGCGGGCGGCGGTAAGTACCTTGGCGACCTGCGAAGTAGGAGGGTACAAGCTTATCGCCCAGATAATTCAATGTCCCCCTCTCAAGTCAATCGAACTGACTCAAGGAGACCCCTTTTGATTGATCAAACCATTAATACCCGCCTCTACGTAAACTAATGTCAGCGTCGAGAGCAAACCAGGAAGCATGCAAGGCAAGACGCAAGCATAAGCGCAGCAGAAAGCCAGCCCCCCACCCAGGTTGAAGCACTGACCCAATAGCATAAGCCGCGCCGGGCGCACCAAAACACCTAACGGCACGAACCGTGACCCTCCATTTGCTTTGCCCCTCTTCATAGAGGAATCTCGAGAGAGTCTTTACCTCACCCCGAAGTTGTTAGGCCACCATCTCCGTAATCACCTGATCATTCCTTGTTGGTGCGAAGTGGATGGCACCATCACTTGACTACACCTAGGTGAAACAGAAAGAAAGGATGGGAAATTTCGACGTGGGCTTTCAACGTTGACGGGGAAGAAGAGGGTGCAGAACGCAAGGGTACCTCGAGTACCTCACGGAACGAGTCGGGTGCTTCCCCGCTCCAACTCGACCCTCCAGAAGCTCTCAGCAGTCAGTCCAGCTTTAAGGTGGACGCATCGTCAAGACTTGAGAGGCTCTACACAACTGGAGCGGACCGACACCCGAGTCCTCATAATCCCCAACGACAATGTAGGGCTTTTTTCCCCTCGAGGGATGAATAGTTACCTCGTAGTTTACGCATGGAGCACCAGGCCTATTTTTGTGCGCCATGTTCTCCTAATGTTCTTCAAGCGAGCCTTTCGAGCTCAAGTGGGGCCTCAAGCCGGAAATCTGCAGTTCGCTTCCAGTTTCTTAGCGAAGGGCAGCCTTGCTGCGCCGTTGCGGATTAGGAAGGATGTCGGTGTAGCCCGGTCACTGATTGCTCGGTGATGATTTCCATATTACTCCGTTTCGCGACTTGCAGCACGTAAATGTAATTATGGCGTCCAGCCAGGGACGCATCCGGTATCTATTGCATCACAGGAGACCCCACCGAGACGCGCCATCACATCTCGCCTTGTCAACACTGTTGCTCTTCGAAACCCTGTCGCTGATGCGACTTCACTGTGGATTTGTGTCGCTATCCAGTGGCAGACCGAGCCGAGTCCGCGTCCGCACGAGGTGTTGCTCTTAACCCCACCTCTTCCGCTCCGATTGAGCAGGTCGACACTACAGAGTCCACTAGGCAAATGTGACTGCGCTACTGCCCAGCCGGTTCAACAAAGTAAAAGCTACTGTTGGCTGGTATCAAGCGATGCTTGAGCAAACTCTGAGTGGGGCGCAGAGGAGAGCTTCGTTCACATTCCGTTGTCAAATTGGTAAAGAGCTCTTTGCTCGGCCGTAACAAACAAAACAACCTGGTTGGCCGCGAATCGGTCTCGCGTTCTCCCTCCGCGCAACTGCGCAGTGCGCCGGGCAAGCCGGAGGATGAGGTGATTGGGCTTGTGAGCTGCTGGACCCTGCCTGTAAGATTACTTTGGGAAGGCGGTGGGCTGTATCCAATAATACTTGTAGGCGGGGTAATTCTGCCGGCCTTTCGCGATGTAGATTGTACCTGGACCTTGTCGAAGTTCTGCGTCACTGCTTCTTTACTGTACAAAGTAACATAGCTTCACTGTGCTCCCAGCCTGATCCATCACCGCCCCCCCCAGCCGTCTCCTGCCCATGAAGAGGTACAAGCCGGGCTCCGAAATCGAATAGCCCAGCATCGGAATACTACGCATCCTGACGGACCCTCACTCGGCCTTGCAACTCGTGTAGACGCATATTCGGGCCCCCGCTTTCCTGCTTAGTGGCAGGCCCAAACGCAACGCAACGATGGCGGACCACGAACACATGGCCATCAAGCACAGCGACCACATCCTCCTCGACCAGCCCCTCCTCCGCCTCCCCTACGAACTTCTCCGAAATAACTTCCGCTCAGCCCACTTCGCCGTCGAAAAAGAGAGCACGGGAATCAAGACGTCTCTCAAGGATGCCACGACGGGGTGTTTCAACGGCAAGTCGAGCCAGGACGATCTGGTCCGGAACCTGGACGATATGATCGCCCAGGCCAAGGCCCTGAAGCGGAAGCTAGCCGCCTGCGCCGAGGAGGAGAACAGGTTGCTGAACCAGGAGCGGGCGAGGATCACGCATGTTGAGGACCTTTATTCAATTAATTCGTTCGACGATGTCAAGTATGAGAGCTGGAGCCGGACGAGGCTGGATAGGCTGATGGTGGATTTTATGCTGAGGAGTGGGTGTGGAAATAGTGCTGCTGCTTTGGCGGAGGAGAGGGGAATACAGGAGCTTGCGGACGTCGAGACGTTGGTTTCTATGAACAGGATACGTGAGAGCTTGAAGAAAGGTAGTGTGCAGGAAGCTCTGGTGTGGTGCTCGCAGAACAAGAAGGAGCTGCGAAAGATGGATGTGGGTGTTTCCCCTCTTTTCCCGTGTTTATTATCCGTATTCATGCTCTAAGAACCTCCTCGGGTGTTACGTTGCAACCGCTGACGAAGACCACAGGGCCGACTCGAGTTCGATCTACGTTTCCAGCAGTTCGTCGAAATGATCCGGTCAGGAAGCGACCCGCGGGCCTGTCTCGCACACATCAAGAAATACCTAATCCCCCACAACGCCCTCTTCCCCAACGAAGTCAGAGCTGCCTGCGGCATGCTCGCCTTCCCCTACGACCCGAACAGTAACAGCACCCACGGCTACGATGCTTACTTTCAACCCTCCCGGTGGGACATGCTCGCCAACCTCTTTACCGAAACCCACAACACCCTCCTCAGCTTACCCTCCGTCCCCTTGCTCAACGTGGCGCTATCGTCGGGTCTCTCGGCCCTGAAGACCCCGGCCTGCCATGCGGCTGCGCGGGAAGCTGCCCCAGGATCGAAGGAGATCAGCCATGGCGCGACCGTCTCGCCGTCTGGGCAGCAGACCGTCTGCCCGATCTGCTCGCCTGAACTTAAGGACTTGGCGATGAATGTACCGTACGCGCACCATACGAAGAGTATTGTCGAGCATGACCTGGTGGTCTTGCCGAATGGCAGGGTCTACGGGAGGGAGAAGTTGGAGCAGCATGCGAAGAAGTTTGGCATGCCTGCTGACCAGGTGAAGGACTTGCAGACGGGAGAGGTTTACGAGGTTGATAAGCTGAAGAAGGTGTATATTACCTAAGTGGCTGTTTAAGAACTGCTTATTACATGGTGGGTTGTATTTTTGGGGGGTTCAGACAGAGTCGGACCGGCGCTTAGATGAACATCCTTTCAAGCACCCTTTTGTACATGGCGTTTGGAAGTAATGAGTTAGTATGAATCAATATTTAGCTCCGTACTCTTACCTTTGTCTCATATCAGTGAAGTACAAGCCGCAAGGAACGAAGCATATGGTTTGAGTCCCAAACATCACCCAGAGTACCGTCCGCGTGTAGGACAAAGGAAGAAGATATCTTTTCGGCCTCTATAATCTCAGCAGTCCAAATTCATTATGTACAAGTATCTCTCCCCCCCGTATCACACACACGTCCTGTCCTCTCTCTTATATTTCCCTCGCTTTAATGCTTCTCCGTGCCATGGCCTTCGCTATGTCCGTGGTGGTGCTCATCGTTGAGGAAAAAGTGCTCGTACAGGCAGTAAATCGTAAACGCCACAGTCGCGGTTCCGAGGCCGGGAAGGGTGCCCTTGAATCGGTTCCACCTCGTGAAAGGGCCTCGGTATCGCCACGCCTCGCTAAAAAAACAATCACACACTCATGTTAGTCTTCTGAAGAGATCCAAACTCGCACAAAAACCTCGTCCGGGGTGACGAGAGATTGAAGCACCAAACCAAGGTGCGGATAATGGTTTAGGAAGGGGGAAACTAACGTTCTCTCCCAGGGATCGTATTTGGGGGTGCCAGCAGCTGCTCGAAGTTTGCTGATGTCGAAGCCGGTAATGTTGGGCTTTGCGCCCTTTGCTGAGCGTAGTATTCTAACGCGGGGGATCGAATGGTTAGCAATAGGGAGGCTCGGGAATGGGCGAATTGGGCGGCAACGAGAAGAGAACGGATCAATTGATCTAGTCGCTTACCTTGTGGCGAGCATGGTTGATTCCTGGAGAGCGACTGGGCAGGTGGTCCTCGACACGCAGTGAAGTGCTATGGAGAGGCAGAGCGAAGACCGACGATAATTTGAGGTCGAGTCTGTACAGTCAGCAAGTCATGTCAGGAAGTTGCATTTGTCGAGGCTGTGATTGGTAACTTCCTTGTCTCCGTTTAGTTCGAAACATCTCACGTGACTCACTTACAGCGAAGCACCAAGCATTGAGTATCAAGGTTCTAATTGAGGTTACATGCTTCCTTTCATTTACCAAATACTCCATCTCTCTCATCCAAATAATCTGGTATTTTTCCTTGAAAATCCTTCAATATCCTTGACATGCAGTGTTTGGACCTCGAGTAATACACTTTCATCGACCTTCATCAGATCCAGATCTCCGATTACCTAAGCTCCCCAAGATCTATCCGTGCGAGTCTCGTTTTTCGGCCCTAGCTAAGCACTGTACGTACCGCTGTCTTGCACTGCGTACCTCAGTACATGGCACACCCTTGACAAGGCTCTGGCCCAACCGGAAAAGCCAAGCCAAAACCACAACCATCACCATCACCACCAGTTCCCAATCACCCACATTGTTATGTTGTGTGGGATCGCGTGCATCTCAACACAATCTTCAAACAATTGACTACAGACCCCTAACTGACTGCCAGCGATCATCTTATCGAGACAGAGAGCGTGAAGCATAAACCAGCGCAATTACCCTCTTACCAACCCCATTGTTTCGACCGCCGATCTCGCCGCCGGCCCCCCTCCCCCTCGAATTCAAGGAACCAGAGTGGTGGAACACCCCTCGATTGGCCCTTGACCTCTCCCTTTTCGATCTGAGGATCGCTCGTCCAAGGCCTCCCCAGGCTTTGACTTCTTACTCGGCCTTTCGTTCCCAATGAAGAACTGGAGGTCTCCTTCGAAAAGAAAATCATACACCAGGAGGAAATAGAGATTGCTTCCTCGTGATCCTTTTAACCGCAGCCCTTCGCGAGACCACACCCGAGTTCCTCCGTATATCCCAGGCCACGATCCGGGCCCGGCACCTCGTCTTATCCCTCCTACACCCCCTCCGCCTCCGCCTTCTCCCAGTCCGGCTCCGGTCTCCCAATCTGCACGAAGGCCGCCCCCTCGACCTCCCCATCACCATCCGTTTAGTCTCCGGCCTCTCAACCCTGGAGTTAATACTGTAACACATTAGAGACGTTCCCCACCGGCTAGGTTTGAGACTCTGCGACTATTTAAGAATCCCTCTGTGCGATCGATCTGGCCGACCCCGACACGACCAGAAAATCCGCGACTGATCTGGGCGCCAACACCACAAGATAGGCTCATTCTGTCTGTATCTCCTGGTCTACTCGCGCAAGCTACTCAAGCTCCGATATATCTACCAGCAGGGCCTGTTTCTTCCGTTCAGATCCCTATCCGTGTGATGCCGCCGCATCAAATATCAAGGTTCGCTAGCGGGCCGACGCTAGCGTATCATCAGCAACAACAGTTCCAATCGCACGCTGCGCAATCCCATGCCGCCGCCGCCCATCAACCGCCGCTCGCCGGCACCCACTCCTACATAAACGCGAATGCGCAACTGAACGCGTTCCAAAACCCGACAAATGGTGGTCTAGCAGGAGTGGGTGGTCTGAATAGCGGCGGGTTCATAGACGGACCTCGTCTCGCTTTTCAGGGGGCCGCCGGCTTCCAGCAGCAACAGCAGCATGGGCAGGCGCAACACGCCCTCGGCGTCGAGTACCCTCCCAATGTCCGCGCTCAGTCGAATAAGGGCCGGATAAGGGAGGTTTGGAAGCACAACCTTCACGAAGAGATGGCTACGTTACGGAGGCTCGTGGATAGCTATCCGTACATTGCAATGGTAAGTTTGTGTGTTTCAAGAGTGGCCGTGCTATCCACAAGCGTCTATTCTTAGCCTTTGCGCTCGACGTCTTTTTTTATCTCATCTATAGTCCATCGTTCTCACATATATCTCCAACAGGATACCGAGTTTCCTGGTGTTGTCTCGAGGCCAATGGGTAACTTCCGTGGCAAGAGCGATTACCACTACCAATGCCTCCGAACGAACGTCGACATGCTCAAAGTCATCCAGATCGGTATTACACTCTTCAACGAAGCGGGCGAGACGATCCCCGCAAGGCCAAACTCGACCGAGGATGCCCTAGGAAAGCGCGGCAGCCAGGCGTCGTTCCCTTGCTCTTGGCAATTCAACTTTAAGTTCTCATTAAAGGACGACATGTACAACGAGAAGTCGATCGAATCCCTCCAGAGCGCGGGGATCGACTTCAACGCGCTCGAACGCGACGGAATCGACCCGCACGACTTCGCGGCTCTCCTTCTCCCGTCCGGCCTCGTCCTCGAAGATGACGTCCACTGGATCTCGTTCCACGGAGGGTACGACTTTGGTTATTTGACAAAGCTCCTGATGTGCACGGCTCTGCCGAACGACGAGGTGGATTTCGAGAAGCTTATGAAGACGTACTTTCCATCCACTTTCGACGTTAAGCACCTGATGAAGTACGCCATCAAGCTCTACAACAGCGGCATCCTCGCCACCAACGACCCTAGCATCTCGGAAGTTCTGCAGAAGTTCGAGCATAAGAGCGGCCTGGAGAACATTGCCGAGACGCTCAAGATTAAGCGCGTGGGCGCGGCACACCAGGCCGGCTCCGACTCGCTCCTAACGGGTAAAGTCTTCTTCCAGATCCGCGAGAGGATATTCGGCAACGAGATTGCGCCCGAACACGTCGGCAAGGTCTGGGGCTTGGGTGTGCCTGATGTCTTGCCGCATAGTCTCCCCGCCACCAACTCCGACCTTGCCGCAACAGCAGGCGCCAATGGAAATGGGAACGGGAACGGGAACAACAACAACAACAAGGGAAACAACGGAGGACCTAGCACCCCGAACACCGGCAGCGTTGGCCTCGCCAGTACGCCTGGCACGGCGCAGACTCATCACGGTGTTAACGGAGGATCGATGGGACCCATGACGCCGGGAGGCGGCGGCGGGGTCTTTGGCAACTTTGCCTTTTCCGGCGCCAGCAGATAAGGAGATAAGATGTAGTTTATAGTCTCTCACTGTCTTTCTCTCTTTTCGCTTTCTCTCTTATCTGTCTATGGGCCTGTTGATTTCTCCGGTACTCCGTTGTGTTTTTGTTAGTTGATTTTCCCTGTTTTTCGGTTCCCCACCCCATGATGTTAGGTAGCTTAACCCCATGAACAGCTTTGGTTCTTCTTACAAAAACCCAAACATTCCCGTTTTTACCTCCTTCCAACTCGTGTATTTTTTTTTCTTCCTTCTTCTTCCTTCGACAATAAGCGGCTGTGAAATATATGGATTTGTGTTTACAACGGTAAAAAAAGGAAATAGTACTCACGGGGATGAGCAAAGGAGAGAGGATGAGAAGAAGCCGGTCGGGGAGTTTCTCTGCGTGTGGGAATACAGGCGGGTGGTGTTTTCGAGCTGGGGGTTTCTTGTGTCATGGAGCGAAGGTTTTGGGTTCTTCGTTTTCTCTAGTTTTGGTAGGGTGTTAGATAGCAGGTGCAATAAGCTCTTGTTCTTGTTCGTTTTCCTTCCGTCTTTTGTGTGAGTGTCTACCTCCCTCCGTGGTTGTCCTCGCGCTTGCTTCTCCTTCGACTTCATGGGATTAAGTAGGCCCCGGGAGCCGTGCCGTGATGTTTCGAACCATGGTCTGAAATCGATGGATAAGTCTCCCTCTCATATTCCATCACCCTTCCGCCGTTTGGTCTATCACCGAGTCAAGTTTGTCGCCGAGATGGATAAAATGAAAGCAGGTTCTGATGATGATCATGTCCAATGAAACTCGATCTGTCGTTGCAGTCTATATCCCAATCTATGGAATCATAACCAATTCCCAATCCATCCCAATCCAATCCAAAATCATGAAAAGCCCCCAAAGTCCTCTCCCCCCAAAACCGGAGTGTACCTCTACATACCCACCCGATTAACCACATCCAACGCCCCCTCAACAGCACTCTCCAACGCCGCAACAGTCTGCTTCAACCCCTTATTCTCATCCCTCAACAGACTAACAGTATCCCACGCGACTCTCGCATCCCCACCCCGACAATTCGCACAGCTAGCCGCCTGTCCCCTCGCCGCCGCGTTGCCATCCTCTCCGTCTCCGGCAATGCCCTTGAGGATCTTTTGGAATGCGCTGAGGCGCTGCGGTTGTTGTTGTTGTTGGTGGTGGAGGCCGCGGGGTTTGTTGAAGGGGACGGGCGTAGTTTTCGGTGGGATGGAAGTCGTTTGCGCATTCTTGCCTTGGATGGGTGAGGAAGAGGGAGAAGAGTCAATAGCGGTAGCAGCAGCAGCAGCTTCGGTGATAGAACCCCCAGGAGGAAGCGTAGGACTCCTTGACCTCGAAAAAACACTCCCCCCCTCAAAACTCTCCTCATCCGTCTCAAACCCATCCCCCTTCCCCCCTTCCCCCACACCCTGCTGCATAATCCACCTCCTCCGTCTCTGGTCCTCATCAACCCCCAAATCCTCCGTCAAAACCGACTCCCCTTCCCCTCCTCCGCCAACAACCTCATCCAAATCCCTCCGTACAAGAACGACGCCCTTCTCCCTCGCCGCTTGCTCGCATTCAATCCGCGCCTTCTTCTCAGCCGTCAGTTCCTCCAGGCACGCCATCAAGGCTTCCTCCTGCTCAGCCGCTCGTCGGGCGGCGTCTTCCAGGCGTGCTTGGAGGTGGCGCGCGCGGGCGGTCATGCCTGCTAGTTCTTCGCGTTCGGCGGAGCGTTCGGCTTGGATGTCGCGGAGCGCGGAGGATTGGGCGCGGTAGGCGGTTTGGAAGCGGAGGAGGAGGTGCGTGGCTGTGTCTTTTAGGGAGTGTTGTTCCTCGAGAGAAGAAGTGGTGGTGGGGGTGGAGAGGGCGGTTTCGATGTTCATGTTGCAGAGCTCGTCGTCGGGGGCGTGGGTGTTAGGATGCTGTGTTAGACGGGAGAGGGCGGACATGGAGGATGTTATGAAGGAAAAGGCGGAGGAGGAACTGTTTCGACGGGAGGATGGGTCGTTGAGCTCTGCTGGTGTTGGTGTCGTAGAGCCGATGGTGTGGCTCTTTTTTAGGCGGGCGATGGCGGGGGTTTCGGGCGAGACGGTGATGGTGCTGGTTGTGGAAGCGGAGGAGAGGAGTCGTGAGGAGCGAGTGGGTGGGCTCGTGAATTCGGTGGAGGAGGAATTGCCCGCCCACCAGGTTCCGATCTTGGACCCTCCTCGGGGAGGAGAGTCGCCCGTGAGAGCCATGTCTTTGATGCCGAGTCCGAACTTCCACCAACTTGATGAGGAAGCTGTGGCGGGTTGGCTGTTGTTATTGCTGTTAGTCGGCAGGGTGCTAGTCAATGCAGACAGGGGCTTCAGCAGAGACGAGGTGATAGATTGCGCGTCCGTAGGAGAATCCGCAGATGAAGCTAAGTTGTCTTGCTCAACAATCTGAGAGAAATTCGTCCGTCTCGAAGGTGCAGGTGAAATGGAAATAGTAGGGATGTCCACGGCGGACAACACGCCGGTATGGCGCCCGGGGCAATCGATGTCAGACGTATCCGACACAGAAGTAGCAGTAGTAGTGGTGCTAGTAATAGATGTCCTCGTAGAAGAAGGAGCGCTGTTAGTGTCCTCAAAGAATTCGCTCGAACTCGCCGTCAACGGTGGTGAAGCTAACAGCTCTTGGACCTGCTGAGCTTGGTTGCCGTCAAGCTTCTTTGGCTCGTCGCCACTTTGTGAAGATCCACGAGAATTCTGGTGCATTGCGGTCCTCGTGCGCTCGGTGGCTGCAGAAGCAGAAGCATGCGGGCTACCAGCACTAGCACTGGTGGTGGTGGTGGTGTGCGTGCTGCAGACAGCACCTCGACTGAGACGGGGGCAAGGGCGGGACCCGGGGCTTAGCATGATGTATTAATGTTTGAGGAACCAATAAGACGCAAGTCGTGCCTAGGCAAAAAGGGTTCTTCTTTTTTGTCAATTTTCCCCCTCTCTCTCTTAGTTAGACCCGGCGCGGTTTGAAAGGAAGCCCAAGCTCACCCGAGGAAGAAAAGACGAAAGTCGGGGGAGATTCGAGGATATTATTCTCTCTCCTTCCTGTTCGTGTCCGTCCTCGTCGGTCGTTTGGTTTGGGTTACTTTCTTCGAATTGGTAGGGACCACGGATGGGCCAGTTCGCCCTCTTTGTGAGGGTGTAAGTGTCGCAGATTGACGCGAATTGATCGGATAATGATCCCTTCGCCTGATCGAAACCAGGGATCAGAGGTTGTAACGGAAATCCCCTTCTCGGGCCAAGGGTCAGGAAAAGGGCAGGACCGGACGAAGAAGAAACAGGTGGGAAAATCACCGTTCCTCGAATAGGTTCGCCAGTGAAAGAACCGAAACGCTGGGTATTTTGCTCTCGTCCTTCCGGTGATGAGCAGCGATCAAATTTCGTGGGCTTTGGAAGGGAAATATCAGAATCAGGTGAACCACTGCCAATCTGGAGTGGTGGAGGTCCCGGAAATGATGCTTCCAGCCAGCGGACCTGGAGCCGATTGTTTGTCGAAGCGGGACGGCTGTCTCTCCTCTATATTTATGAATTTGTTCCTCTTTTCTTTTCGGCCTTTCTTCTATTCCATGCACTGGACTGTCAAGCGGCGTAATCACTCTACTTCGTATGTTATATGGAACCCAAAGTTTGGGTGCCGTGCTCCGTGGGACGTGGGATCGAGCCGGGGCGCATCCCGGGATTATCGCATGAACAGGAAGCGCTGGGCTGCTTTTTGTCGAGGTCGCGAACACCTTGGCGAAATAGAAACGACTATGGGAGGAGGGCCAACGAGTAGAACCGTGAAATAGATAAGCGCACGGCCTGGCAGAGAATGTAGAGAATTCTACTCTTTTTTTTTTCCGGTCGGCGGAACTGGACTACACGTTGATATTGTGGTCTGTAGATCCTCCGCAATGTGAGATGCCTGCTGGAGGATGCTGGGCCCCAAGATTCGAATCACAGAGGGGTAGGTGGTATCGCAGCCGGAGTCTTGCTGGTGGTCTGGTGGTCTGGTGCCACAACTAGTTTAGCAGAGGCAGATCGTCCAAGTCTGTGCGGGAACTGACAGGGATCGTAGGACAAGGGCTGTGAATGCGATTAAAGCGGTGGATGTGATGGAGACGCTGTCCCGCTCAAGGCCCAAGAACGGCTCCAACTCTTGAATATGGTCCTTGTTCCTTCGAGTCCACGAGTATCCGCACTACTTCTTCGTCGGCGAGATGCCAACTGCACCTATCCAAATCCAAATCCAAATCGGCTATGCTGCCGTCCTTGATGTAAATGCGTGGCTACTACACTCTTTATGCCTCACGCTCAGTGCCTGGCAGGGTTCCACTAATTAGCGAAGCGAGAAAGGAATGCCAACGGTTCAAGCTGCCCTTGCAGCCAAGCGATACAGTAGGTGTGGCGTAAACGGGGGAAAAGCTGTCGAATGTACTTCGTGAGTGCGGTCGATATATTAGGCACGGCAAGGGGCGCGGGTCTAGATTCCCCAGCAAGCGAGCGGGAGAAATAGAAGGCCATCAACCGGAAAGGGGTATTATTCTTCGTATGAGGGAAGAAAAATGGACAACAGCATAATCGATTTTATGGATGCCTTGGAAGAAACTCTGGCCAGTGCAGAGATGTGGACGTGAGCTATCCCTCAACAGTCTTGTCTTCGTTGTCGTCCCGCCACTCTGTGGGCATGTCTTAAAGGAGAGCCACAAGAAGGGCGTCGCTATTAAGGGCTAGACTGGTGGTGGTACGAGGCAAACGTGTCGGACTTGACTCTCGACTCGATTCGACGGTGGCGGGAAATCTGTGACTTTTCTTGGCTAGTCTTGAGAGAGTCGAGAGTCGAGAGTCGACTTGCAAGCATCGGAAATGCCACGCATAAAATCTAGGATAGTTTGCTCTTTCTCAACCGGAAAAGGCAATAAATCAACCAGAACATCACCCATGAAAAAGCTCTCCAAGGATCCGATTTACAGCTCGATATTCGTACACAAACAAACACATTCATCCGTCCCTCT